TGATTTTTTATGATTTATTGTTTGTGCCTTCTATTTCACATGCAATTTAGATTCCCTTTCTTATTCAATGGAAACACCTCAATTCCAAAATTGTTTTTTCTACATTAGAGGTGTGAAGTACATTTTTCTTTAAAGAGAAAATCTTGTATTTGCATCATACAGTAGCATGCTTTTCATGCAGCTGCAGAGGTGTACAAACTAATTGAACAAGATGTGTCTGTTGAAGTTTCCCAGACGGGTTATCTGGGAACTTGCTGTTTTTCCTGTGGCCTTCCCTGCATGGCGACAGAGTGTTTAGTTTTTGCATCCCGTAGACATGATAGTGAATGAGCGTGTAAGGTTGAACTGTTCCATCTGTTTTCCTTTGTTTCTTTTGTTTGATCTTCGAAGATTGAGTCTCCGCCTCTGTTAGCAGAGAGAGGTCAATAAAGTAACTATGCAACTCTGAGTTCGTTAGAGCAGAATGATTTTCGCCTAATGCAGTGTATTTTTGCTCTCCGTCTGCAGATGTATTAAAGATTGTTTTTGCTCCCTGACTTTTGTCTGGACCTCAGTCTCTGAATTATGTACTTCACAGTGAAAAATATCAAAAATTTGCAAACATTTGCGATGGAAATGCAGTTTCTGTTTCTATTCAGTGATTAGATTAAACAGAAGTGAGACAGGTCAGATTTCCTTAAGATATGTTGATCTCCTTATCCACTTAATTTGTCTGAAGTAACCAAGCAAACAAACCATGCTTGTTTGCTTGGTTAAAGGCCTCCTTCCTCCATAAAATGTTCTATCTGCACAAACATTTTGTCTATATTTTAATGGGCTGAAAGCAGCTAATCTGACCTCTTCCTCAATCTGTCACTGGGTCACATCTCTCTCATTATTCTCCTCTGACAAATCCCCTGAATCTGCTCCAGTAATCAAAGTTTGTGTGTATTTGGTGCATTTTTCTGCATTTCTTCAGCTCTTTATAGCCTTTGTTCTCACAACTCTTATGGGTACGCCCCATCATGTATCCATTCACTTCTCTCCAACTCCCCTCAGCTGAAATTGCTCAATTTATAAACTCAGAGACAAGGGGAGGTGTGGGCAAGAAGCTCAAAGTCCTTCAAGAAAATCAATCAATGGCCCATCGATGTCCACAAAAACTGGTTAAGTTCTGACAGGCTCTGGTTGGGCATCAGGCAATCAGGCAGTACCTCTTACTCCATGACTGGCCTCAGACATGCTAACCCTAAGCTTCAATTTATAGATGACGCTGAGTGTAATGCTGCCTGTTTCAACACATCCCTGTGAGTGATGCATTTTCTGTTCAGCTGGACTGAACAGAAAAGATATAACATTTCGTTATATCTTGAGTCAATGTCCTCCACCCCTGGAGGACATTGACTCATGTCTAATTGAGATCTATGAGTAACTTTAACGTATAGTTGAGTCGCTTCCCATTTCTACCACTCTGGGTGAAACTGATTCAGGCAGAGAGAAGCCTTACAACAGTAAATCTCTTTGCTCAAACTCACAATATGACTGAGAGAAGACTCAGCATAGGAAACATAATGTTGCTTTGGTCGCTGAATTTCAATTGAATAACATTTGAAATTCAAATGGCAGTAACCATCATGGAAAAAACCTGGGCTCAGATGAAAAAAAAACAAAACAGTCTTTTCTCTCTGTTTACCTTTGAAGTTTTATGGTTTCGTTTTCTGCAAAAAGAAACCATTCCCCTCTTCCTTTGAATTTTTTGGTTTAAATTATTTTTTTTAAGTATTGAGAAATTTAATGACAATATCAGTTGTTGCAGTTCATCATGACTGATCAGTGAAGTGAAACAAACCAGCTGCCAACATTCAGCATCTAACTGCTGCCAGGAAGAAACAGGAGGATGCAATTTTATATTTTGTCGATTTGTTCTAAAGAAGTAAGTCGAGTCTCAACAAGAAACTGATGTAAATAGCTGTCGAATAGTTTCGATAGCGTGCCAACAGAGAGTAGTAGTTTCTCTGCTTGATGTTGATGTGACCTTTCATACAGAAGAGCACCTTTTACATAAATGTTAATAATAAACAGAGGAAGAAACAAAAGTGTCAGATACTTCAATCAAATACAGAAGAGAATGACCTGAGAAAACACAAATGTGCCAATTGTGGAAACTCTGAAGATAAATTTAGAATAGTAAATGCATTAAATGAACTAAATTTATAGAAATGCTCAATTCAAGATAATTGCTAAATCCAAAATAACAATATTGTCAACAGCATCATAGAACTTGCCCAACTCTTAAAAACGTAGTTGGATTGTGGAATTCTTTCTAAGATTGCAAAACAAACAAACAAAACTCTCAAATTTAAAAGTTAAACCATAAAGCATTAATTTTACAGTAAAAACATCTAAACTTTCAGATCTTCAGGAAGGTTACTGCAAAGCTGACAGGTAAGAAAAAGAGGCCTAATTGTGTGTTTTAGTGCTCACTTTAAAGCTGCAGTAATTTTTAGAATAAACTCTTTTTCACATATTTATTAAAACTGTCACCATGTTGTGAAAGTATATTTTAATCTGGAGAGACTCACACAGAGAAGAAAATAGCAATCAGAAGATTTAATGATACAAATTCTTTGGCGCTCGGGCCTGGCAGAAGATTGAGTCGCGGATCACCATGGGCAGGACATCAGTTCGGCCGACCTGAGTGAAGTTGCCCCCCCCCACCTTCTTCAAATCAGACAAAATTGATGTCAAACGTTTGTGCTGCGTTTGTGCTGGTTTGTGCAGGTTTGTGCAGCAAAAAAAAAATTTTTGTGCTACTATTGTTTGGAAGATATAACGAAATGTTTTTAGAGGTCATCAAAGGTCAACCAGCCCCCCCACCTTCTTCAAATCAGACAAAATTGGTGTCAATCAACTCGGCTGCGTTTGTGCTGGTTTGTGCAGCAAAAATTTTCGTTTGTGCTGGTATCATTCTGAAGATATTCAGAGAAATGTTCTCCAGGGGTCATCAGAGGTCAACCACTCCCCTGGCCCTACTCACATTTGGAAACATAAATACATTTGGTGTCAATCAACTGTGCTATGTTTGTGCAGGAAATTTTTTTCATTTATACTGGTATTACAAATTATAGCACTATTAACTATTATTAGTTATATAAATAATAAGGTCATCAAAGGTCAACCAGCTCCCCTAACTTGTCAAGGTAGTCAAACTATCAAGGTCTGTGCTGTGCTTTCTGTGACAGTGTTTCTGTTCAGAATGTGCTAAAAAGTACAGAAAAAAATAAAGCTTCCCATTTTACCTAACTTGAAGAAGGTAGGGGAGCTGGTTGACCTTTGAGGACCTTATTATTTATATTACTGATAATAGTTTACAGTGCTATAATTTGTAATACCAGTATAAATAAAAAAAAGTCCTGCACAGGCATAGCACAGTTGATTGACACCAAATTTATTTATGTTTCCAAATGTGAGTGGGGCCAGGGGAGTGGTTGACCTCTGATGACCCCTGGAGAATATTTTTCTTAATATTTTCAGAATGATACCAGCGCAAACAAAATATTTTGCTGCACAAACCAGTACAAACGCAGCCGAGTTGATTGACACCAATTTTGTCTGATTTGAAGAAGGTGGGGGGGCTGGTTGACCTTTGATGACCTCTAAAAACATTTCGTTATATCTTTCAAATGATAGCAGCACAAACGAAAATTTTTGCTGCACAAACGCAGCACAAATGTTTGACACCAATTTTGTCTGATTTGAAGAAGGTGGAGGGGCCAACTTCACTCAGGTGTTCGACCGAGCTCGGACAGTCTTCTCCCAGGACCGAAAACAGGTGGTGGAGCTGGGTGCGGAAGGATCCTGGAGGACGACCATCAGGACGAAGGCGGAGATGAGGGGGAGGGAGGTGGGACAAGCGCACCGACGAGCAGGTAGCTTGACTTTTGAAGGCGTTCCTGGGTGACGATTGGCATGCAGCGATGCGTTTCTCCAGACCTGATTGGCTGCGGTAGGACGTGGTGATTGAGAGATGAGTGTCAGCTGGGTCGAGTCTCCCAGCTTGAATTTTCGCCTAGGCTCCATGAGACAGATAACATGTGAAAAAAAACATCTGCTTCTAGTGCTACTATAGCAACCTGAAGAAATGCAGTGTTCCCAGTCAAAAACAACCAATGACCCTTAGGCAGGTGGACGTTTTACTGATGTCAGTCTTGCTCGTGTACTGACTGCTGAATGTGCTAATGTGAGAAATAGCTTACCATTCCAGAAAAAACTGTCTCTGTCATCATCAGAGAGGGAAAGGTGTGGGGTATAAGCAGCACGTACAAAAGGTTTATTAACAGCACCAAGATCTTCCTCCTGACTCCAATTGTTTGTTTCTGACACAGCATTGTATTTGTGCATGTGACAGCACCATCGGGATAAAGTAGAAGAGATTTTATCCACAGATAATACAATCATGGTTTGGTGGTAATTTTCACAAATATGTAAAAGACACATTTTGTTGAATAAATGTTACATACTTTTGTTTTAAGGAGTAACAGAAGGACCTTTCGAGACCCTGAGTGGACAAGAACACCTTTAGGACAAGCATGTATAATAAGTAGTGTGCACTAACTATTAACAGCATTACATCTCGACTTCAGTCTTGACAAAGAAGGGCAATACGGATCAGCAAAAGAATCTTAATAATTAGATTGAATTTAACTTATTTATTCAAATAAGTACATTTCATCAATTCGTTGGAATTTAATAAATAAGTTTAATTAATGCATATTTAAGTGCTAAACTTATTTTTTCAGAGAGAAACTGATTAATCTGCACACATATATTCCTAAACTAATTTAATGAGTTAATCTAACATTTTGTTCAACAGTGTAGAAGCGTCTCAGTGTTGCCGTCCCTCTTTTTTTCAACCAGCTCACATTTCCTCATTTGTCTTTCCGAGTCCTGACATGCCACACCCTCCCATTCGTCTTTTCTAACTCTTGGTTTCTACCATTATGTTTGTAAGCCTTTGTGGAATCAGTTTTACCTCAGAAATCTCACCAAATTATCTGTATTGAATTTTTTTTTCTTCTCTTCCTGCTGACTGAAGTATAACTTTTTTTGCCAGGTAAGCTTCTCATCTGACTTCAAAGCTCTAAATGACTATTTGCTGAAACAATACATGTATAAAATCCCATCATTATGATCTCTGTTCTAGGTCATGGATGATTTTGTTTGTGAAAAACTAACCCAGTGGGGTCTGAGTGAGTTGATAGAAACATTTAAAGGTAACATATTGCACTGTACTGTTGCTGGATACAAAACAACACAGATAATGTATTTGTGCAGTTTTTCATATGATGTCCCTAAAGTACTAAAGTTAACGGTTGTTCCTGTAGTCATCTCATTATTGGGGGGAACCATAAACAGGGACAATTTTTAGAGCAATTCTGGGGAGTCTGCAAAGTAAAATGTGGTTAAATTTTTTTGTGTGTGTTTAAGCTGCACCATAAAAATGACTAGTAAGTAGCAATAAATAACAAAAATGTTAGTACTTGTGCCACATCTTAAGGGTGAAGAGTGTGTGCATGTTTGTTGTCCAATTTGTCGTTATGTTGCTATATGATTGATTGCCAACCTCAACATCAGGCAAAAGTTGAATATGTGTGATTTATAATTATGTTTTCATAGAAACCTATTGACTTTTATGGCGTGGCCATGATTAGATCCATTTACCCGGATAATGAAATTAGCAGTTTTTTTAACAAGTGTTTACTGTACACCGATTTCAGATGTTAATAAACCTCAGTCACAGCAGCAGAAGCGTCTTGCAATGAGTTTTGTACCATGTTTATGAAGCTTAATTATGCAGCAGATTTAAATGATATCAGCATAACTAAACACATCTTTTGATTACAGAAGAAGAAATGGACATGGAAAGTTTTTATTGTCTTGAAGATCGAGACATTGATACACTGATTCCAAAAGTGGACCAAAGGACCCAATTCAAACAGGGATTTCAGATGTTAAAGGTAATGCCCTGATTTATGACATTTTGTTGCTCATCTTTGGCTTAATGAATGTTTTTTCTTGATACTTGCTTTTGTAATGAAGATGTACAAACACTTTTACACTGGATAAATATGAAATAATATTTGATTACTTGGTTAAATTCTTTTCATGAACTGATATGTGGAGTATAGAATGAAGAAGCAATGAATTTCACCAAGGAATAAGGACTACAGCATTAATGAATTAGTTTCTCTTTTTCCCATCAATTTAATTTAATTAAAGTCAATTGAATTTTTTAATTCTAATCCTCCCAGGGGTACGAATAATTCTGGGCTTACCAGTAGCTAACATTTAAACTTTTAACTAAATTAAATTAAATTAATTAAATTCTACAATTATTTTTATGTTTCTGTAAACATTTCCTAGCAGAAGGAGTATAGATAGATAATACTTTATTGCTTGTCTTTCACAGTGCCACATTGACTCTGGGTCTGAACAGTGTTCAACCCAGGATGTTACCAGGTCAATTGGGTCATCATCACCTGGTCGACCGAGACAATGTCTCCTCACTGACAGCAATGCGACATCTCGCCCAACCAGGTCCAGCATAAAGTTTGTCAGCACCATCACCATCTCTGTTGGCTTGTTAAACATCCGCTCACTCACCAAGAAAGAGTCTTTCATTTCCGAACTTCTAAGGGAAAAGCAGTTTGACTTCTTATGCCTGACGGAGACCTGGCAGAAGAAAAATGATCTTACACATTTAAAAAGGGCTGCGCCGGATGGGTATTCTCACATCAGCCAACCACGCTCTGAAGGACGAGGAGGCGGCGTCGCAGTGCTCTTCAGGGACAAGTGGCTTGTGTCTTCTGTCAGTGCCCCTTCTTACAAATCTTTCGAATCTACAGTTCTACAAATCCACTTATCAGTACCCACCATTTTAGCCACTATCTATCGCCCTCCTGAGTCCAACAAGGATTTTTTGAACGATTTCTCCTCTCTTTTAACACTTTTGTGGTCCTTATCCCCAAATATTATTGTTGTGGGTGATTTCAACATTCACATGGACAAATTCAGCAAGACTTTGACGCGGGACTTTTATTATTTGTTGGACAGTTTTGGAATGCAGCAATATGTTGACGTTTCTACACACAGCCACGGTCACATTCTGGATCTTGTCTGCTGCTCTGCTTTAACACTTTCAAGCTGTACAGCATCAGAAATGTTCATCTGTGATCACAAACTGATTTCATTTACTGTCACTTTGCCACTGTCCAGACTCTAATTTCATCTTCTTCCAAACATCAGTGGCTCTATTCTATCTGACAAAATCTCAGATTCATTTATAGACAGGCTACAAAGATGATGTACCTACAACAATGCATGGGAAAGACATTCTACAGAGCAAAATATAATTTTATTGGCTGGATGTTAGTTTTTCTCAATTGTAATGGTGAATTTCTCTAAACAGAATCAAAATGTACTTTACTATTATTTCCACCTCCAAGCAGCAGTTTTACATTTCTTCTGACAAGCTGTAAATATGTTTGGACATGCATTAATTGCTTGCATACAAGTCTCTGCTGCTTCAGAACTGACATAACTGGTTTCATGTCAGTAAAATTAACATTTAATGGATGGAGTTCCTTGTAAAACTAAAAGTCATAATCCCATTGTTTGGGTCATTACACACAAATGTTTTGCGTTATCAAAATCTGTCCATATTATATATTTCTTCATAATTTTTTCCCAAAAATTTAGCATGAAAGTTGCTATTCACCTTGTCTTTTCTTACTGTGATTTCTTACTGCTGTATATACTTGACTTATAAAATCTAGTTGAGGCTTAAACCAAATTTTTTGGATACAAATAAGATGGGGTTTGTCTGTCAAATCTGAACAGTTTTTTTTTTAATTTTTATTCTTGACTGTTACTATTAAGACTTCTGGCAATTCACTGGAATATAATAACAAAGAAAAGAGACCACTGCGCAACTGAGGTTGAGAAGATTGACTTCTTCAGTATGTCCTTTCTTAATGTTAAGATATATTTGAGCTGCTTCTGCAATTATATGAATTTTTTTTTTCAGCTTTTCTTTCTTTTTGGGCAGTTTTTATTTATTACCACTTCCATGAATAAAACAAATCCCTCTTTCATCATGAGTACAGTGTCATCTTTGTTCTTGTTACATCCCTGACAAACAGAACTCTATACATCTACAGCTGTCACCTAGAGAGTCCAGTCATGCCTGGTCATCGATCCATCAGACTCACCGTGGTCCTTCCTCCAGTTCCTCACAAAATATTCATTTATTCTTGTTTTTGAGGAATGAACTATCAACGAGATTAGTTTGTACTAATTGCTTTGAGAAATTCACTTGCCAGTTTAAATTCCGGTTGTGACTCATCTTGACAAGTCCCAACTGGAAACAGATATAAGTTATGGGAATGATTCTGATCTCATGTCAACAGAGAGTGATCAAGAACACTTTGTATCCTGCCAAATAATAAGCAGATGAAGAAATGAAAGAGACTAAGAGATCAAACAACTTAAGGAAATGATTGAGGAATGAGGAATAAGGAAATAACAAAAATACATTTTGGAATTGAAATATCAAAAGTGATACTTGCCAAACTATTAAGAACTTAAATAGAAGTATTAGAAAAATTGACAAAATTGCAAAGAACTCAAATAAAAATTTAATTGAAAAATCTTAAAATATAAAAACAGTTATAAACTTCATCTAGAACCCAAACTGAATAAATGTGTCGAATTTGCTTTTAAAAACATCCAAATTCTAAGCTGCCTATAAATGTATGGACTTGTCATACATTTATAGACATTAAGAACTTGACATAAAATATTTTTGTTTTTTGTTTTGTTTTTTACACTAGAGTCAGAATTAAAATATTTGTCCAGCTTTCATACAGTATTAATATTCCTGAACCAATTGAATTGGCTAAACTCAAGCAGTTTGTTTTACAGTGTGGAAGCCTATCCTGTTTTACAGTTTGCCACTCCTCTTTTCATTTACCAACCCACACCTTCTTGTTCCTCAGTCTCCTGCTTTCTACCATTTTGAATGTAAAACTTTGAGCATTCAACTTTACTTTTGTGAATCAGCGTTGAGATCATTTTTCTCTTCTTCATCTGAAGACTGAAGTGTTGTTGCCATAATTTCATTCATTGCAAGGTGGGTTTTTAAAATCATATTTAAAAATGTAATTGCCTATGTAAAACAATACTTAGATATATCATTAAGATATTATAATTTATCTTCCAGTCTCTGTTCTTGGTCATGGATGACTTTGTTTGTGACATTCTAACCCGGGGTGGTCTGAGTGACTTAATTGAAAAATTTAAAGGTAATGTATTACACTGTGTAACTGTTATGGACAAAAACTGTGGAGGCAATGTACATGTGGTTCTGTACCAGTGCATGTAAAAGTGAATAAATTACATGTCATAGAACAATGTCTCAAGAAAGGTAAAAAGACATGGATTCATATATATGCCTGTTAAATATATTACAATAAAAATGTTTTGAACACAAAGATAAATGTGACCATGAATAAGGTGTTCAAGTGCTAGTAGTACATAGCGCCTCCCAGAGGACACAGTATTTAAACAGTTCTTTAAATATTGGCATGACTGATATCTAATTACATGTTGTTTGATTACAGATGAAGGGATTGATAGAGACAGTTTCTATATGCTTCAGGATGCAGACATTGAAAAGTTGATCCCAAGAATGGGACCAAAGTTAAAATTTAAAAAGTTACTCAGTCAGTTAAAGGTATGTCCTTATTATTATTATTATTATTATTATTATTATTATTATTATTATTATTATTATTATTATTATTATTATTATTATTATTATTATTATTTTACATTAAAATAGTCCATTGACAAAAAGGGCTGAACAGATTTTCTTCCCGTACTTTGGCTTTGTAAAAAGGCAGAACAAACCCCAAATGAGAGTACACATCATTTTCCACCACATGTAAGTCAAACATATTCTTATTCTAGTTTAAAGTGAAGTATTTTATCCTAACATCTGTGATTATGGCTGCTTAGTTTCAGTGTTCAATTAAAGCTTTTTACCAGAGTTATTTTATTTACAGGGCCACCAGAATGATGAAGAAGCAACCAATATCACTGAGGTGAGAAGGAATAATCACACACACAAACACGCACACACACATCCACACACTCTCTCTCTCTCTCTCTCTCTATATATATATATATATATATATATATATATATATATATACACATATGAATGAGAGAATTGAAATGCAATTCTCTTTTTCAGTCATAATGCAATTCTCTTATTCTCACCTTATATCTCATACAGGATGACATCATAAGTATGTTATTATTATGTTAATTTATCATCAATATTATCATCCATATAATGAAAATGCAAGTGCAATAAAACAAATGTTATGAACTTTTAAGGTATGTCATAACGGAAAATCGTGTTTAATTATAGTCAAACTTTTCTGTTCATCTTCAGGTTTTACCTTCTACAAGTGACACGGGTGAGAAATACAAGATCTTAGTCAAAACCTTTTCATGCACATTGACATAAAAAAACAGGTAGTGATAAAAAAAATACGAGTAACGTTTTTAAACTAGGAAAGCGAAAATCTGGCCAACAGTTGGGCAGCAAAGGACAACCAGCAGCAAAAAGGAAGTGTGAGACAAATTCATCAGCAGGTATTTCTTTTTATACACACTGTAACACATAAAATTATATTATTGGGATATTTAAATTACAGCTCAACTTTTCCTCCAGATTTCTTTTTATTGTGCTGTGGGAGGAGGGATTACATTTTCATTTAGGAGTGTCACTGATGATTTTATTGCATTGGTGTTTTCACATTGATTGACATACTAACAGTTTGCAAATCTCCAGATGCTTTGCATCAATAATTATTAATAATTTAATAATTATGAATGTTTCATTTATCATGTTTCAAAAGCAACTCTGAACATGTAGGTTTTAGTGTAAATTTAAAGGAACTCAGAGTTGTGGTTGTTTTATGATTTTCCTGAAGTTTGTTCCAGATGTATGGTGCTTAGAAGCTGAATTCTGCTTCTAATTGAAAAATTGTCTAAACAAATTTTAGCAACATGGATATTTGTGTAGAAAAATATTTTTTATTTTATCTCACAAATAACATCATGTATGTCACATTGTTTTACCTGCAAATTAACAAAGTCTAAAAATTCCTTTTTATTTACATTAAAGTTATTTATTTATCTATTTATTCCTCAAAACAGAAGCAAAGATATTAAATGACGTGAGAAACACGATGGGGAACATCAATGCCATGTTGCAAGACGACAGTGATCTCAATAAGTTATTGAAGTAAGTAGATTCTCTGTTGGAAATAAACAAAATAAAGTTTTAAACTGGAATAAAATATTCCTAAAAATCTAAAGAAATTTCACAGAACACTTAATGCTTTGCCTCTTCTTAATTGATGTATTGTAATTGTTTATACTTCACCAAGTTTTTTTTTTTTTTTTTTACTGTGATGGAGACCAGGGCTCCATCCCTCATACATGATTATTGATATTATATTTATTTACAGACCAAATGCGTTTTGTTTCAGTTCTTTATTTCAGTTGCATTGTGACATTTAGTTGAACATTCTTTTTAGGGAAGAGAGATTGGTCATCCTTCCTGTTCAGGGAGAATGTGGGGGAAATGTCAATTTGTTCCTGATTTCTATTGGTTTAATTTGAGTTTGCTAATTGTTTGAGTCTTACCTCAAACAACTGAATTTGGGTGTGTCTTCTCAGCAGGATGGAGCAGCAATAGGAGACAAAGGCTCCAGAGGCTGCTAAACGGCCCCTGAGCATTTCGTTTTCAATTAAGCAGGATAATCCGCGGAAGTGTTAAATTTATTCTTTGATGGATCTTTATTTGATTGTTTTTAGTAGGTTTTAGTAAATGTTTATTTCTTGTTTTGTTTTGTCACCCTTTTACCTGCAATGAGAGTTGGAATAGCCCAAAGTATAACAGCCAGCTTCTTTGTTGGTTCAAATGTGACCTGCAGCTTCAAATAATCCATCTCCACTGTATTATGTTGCCTCGCTTCCTTTCCTGAATGCAGAGCCTCCGCCGGTCAAAGATGACATTGCATTTAAGCTTTTGTTAAACCTGCCTGTATTTTTTTCCTTTCACTCAGATGGTTTAAATATTGAATATATATGTTGACATGCTCTTTAAAGCTGAGTTGCTCAACAATGACTACATTTTCTACAGAACTAAAATCAGGAATCTGGAGACGGAAAGGAAGGAGTTGGTTGGTGTCTTTGGTAAAACTGGAGCTGGAAAAACATCTCTGATAAATGCTGTCCTTGAAGAGAGGAATCTTTTGCCCTCTGGAAGTGTCAATGCTTGTACCTCAGTCATGATTAAAGTGGAGGGTAACAGGCTCAATGAAAACTACCAGGCAGAGATTGAATTCATTTCACCCGAGGTAAACTAAAAATATACTTATAAGAATCCGATGAAGATGTAACTTCAGTAATTTTACACATCACTTGAAAAGCAATTCTATTTTTTACTATTATTTTTTAGGACTGGGAAGATGAACTGGGATCACTGCTTTGTATCATTAAAAAGGGAAATCAAGAAGCGCAAGACAATGTTGATGATTCTGATGAAGAATACCATGATGCTGTAGATAAGCTGTCGGCTCTGTATGAGGAAGAATGGAGGGAAAAATCCTGTGAACAACTCATGGAGTCAAAGTACTTCAAAGAAATTCCAGAATTTAATCTTTCAACAAGCAAAACCCTGTCCTTTAAATCAGTAAGATGCAAAGATTTTAACAGTAACTTTGTGCAGCAATTCAGCAATATATGTGTATTACATTGAGCTGTCAATATGACACAGCTTTTATTACTAATATTATAACTATTATTATGTTTTGCAGGCTAAGGACCTATCTAAATATATTGTCAAATATACAAGGGACGCTGCTAAGGATGAAAAGTATAGCGAAATAGAGCAGTGGTATTGGCCACTTGTGAAGTGTGTGACTGTCAGGGTACCAAACAATCCTTTTCTCCAACATGTCACACTTGTGGACCTTCCTGGAAATGGAGACCGCAATAAAAGCAGAGATACAATGTGGAAAGGGGTAATTTATTCAGTACTACATTGTTACTTGTTACTTTCACTTTTTTATTGATTTAAATCAACTTTTTCATGATATTCTATTTTTTTTGATCAGCACCTAAATATAAAATGCTTTTTTTTTTTCAGATTGTTGGAGACTGTTCTACCGTCTGGGTTGTCGCTGAAATCAATCGAGCAGCATCAGAGCAAGAATCATGGGACATCCTGAAAAATGTTGGCAGTCAGATTGGAAACGGTGGCGAGTGTCGACACCTTCACATTGTCTGCACCAAGTCTGATGATATTGACGATTCAGCTGAACTGTGAGTCTATTTCTGTGTTGGAAGTATATTACTAAATAAAACTTAAAGGGAACAAAGCCATAGATGATCTTCCAGTTTGTTTTCATGTTTTATTTTACTGTCAGAAGATTCATGGGTCTGTTAAGCTCTAGTAGATCATTTCTTCTCTTTTAGCACCAAACCTGAAACTCAGGCCTTGATACTTAAGAGAAATGCAGAAGCCAAAGAAAGCGTGAGAAGAGAATTCAACAAACTGGGCAAAATTAAAGTGAGTTTTGTATACCGGTACAATGTGTGGCACATTGTTTGTCTACAATTAAAAATAAAATGAATTTTACATTAACAAATCATATTGATATTTCCTAGAAACACTTCAGTGATGAGTGTTTTCAGGTGTTCACTGTGAGCTCCAGAGAATTTTTCCGAAAGCGAGATCTAAATCCAGAGGACACTGGTAAGTTGTGTCAATCTGTGTGAAACATTTATCACAGAACAGATATGCAGAACCACAAACTGTGACATTTATTATATAAATATAGTGATAGATATGATTTGATTTCACAGAAATACCCAAGCTTCAAGAATTTTTGCAAAATCTCAACGACAGTCACTCAGAGATATTGAACTATGTGTCTGGAGCTCATGGGATTCTCTCTTTGATTCAGGGCAGCAGAGGAAAAGAGGTAAGAACAACAAGCTAATTGTTTTTTAGTGTGTTTTGCTATTTTACTTGCTTTATGAAAATTGTAATACAGCACAAATATTCAAAATAGATTTGAAGAGTCTGAAATGTCCTAATTAACATTGTTTTTCTAGGATGACAGAATTAAGGAAGTGTTTGAAGCTCTTGAGAAAAATCTAATGCTTCAAATTGAGTTCATCAAAAATGAAATGACGAAGATTCGCAAGGATTTTGAAGAACATCTTAAACAGGGAGTTGAGAGATCCAAAGAATCCTATGAAAAAATCTTGAGGACGACCCTCTATCCCCATGTATGTGTGCTGATAAGAAAGTACATCTTTGTAATGTAGCATATTTTTGTCACATATGTTATTACATTTTATTCATTTCTCTCTCTCTGTTTTTCATTCCCCCAGAAAAGGGATGGTCGGGGATTTCATAAGCAACTGAAAAAAGCTGTGGAAAATGGAGGAGTCCACCGACCTAAGAAAGGAAGAGAAATGAACATCAACATAAACTTGACTTCCGCTCTGACTGACAGCATTGACGAGGAATTCAGAACCACTTTTCCGTAAGACCTTTATGAGAACATAGAGTCCTCTCCTAATATCTAACTGCAACATCAATCACGAATAAAATTCAATGTTTCCAATTCCATCTATAAAATATATAAAATACCCATGATATACCACATTACATTTTTAAAATCTGTGTATAGCCCCAAATAATTCATGATAGCGCGAATGAGTTTCACATTTTGATATTATTGACAATATTCTGTATTTTTTATGTTTCAGAAATGATGGAAAATGTGGCCCATTCAAAGGAGTGATCTACAGTTTTTCACTTGTCACTGATGAACTGAAAGAGAAGTACAAAGATGTGGAACTGCAGTTGGCATTTCTCAAGTCAGAGGTAATAAATGAGAAGCATAAGTTGTTAGAAATACATATAATTATGAAAGGCTTTTATGCGGCTAAAAATGAGATTTAACAAAATATGTCAAAAATAAATAAGTAAACATACATGAGTTATTTCTGACAATAGCATAATACTGTAACATTGTATTAAAACTGTGTTACTTAAATTATTTTTTGAATCACTGTCCATTTCAAATTTTTGTTTTAGGAGGAACGTCTGAAGATAAGTCTGAACAAAACAATTCGTAAGCGCAAAAAAATAGTCTACAGGAGTTTAGTAAAAACCATTGAGGAAGCAATGCAAGACTGCTATAAAAGTAAAACAAAACGATCAAGTTATTACAATAATTTACATTTATTCTTAGGTATTACTTATTAACACATAAAACGTTATTGTGTTTTCCAGAAGCGGCAGCATTTACAGGAACTGGTACACTTCAGAACATGCGGGAAACTATAGAGAATCATGTACATGGATCAAAGAACACCATGTTTGAAAGTGCTAAAAAGGTCATGATGAACCAACTGAACTACTTGATGGTTTTTACTTTTAATATGTTAACAGTGAAATATAAATTACATTCCCTCTCAGAACTCTCCACTCTGTTATCATACCCAAATACTGATCCATACAAAGCTATGAAAAAGTATATGCCTTTTGTTGCTTGTTTCTGTTTGCTCTCTCTTTCTAAAGTGTCTTGAGGAATTATCCTATGCATGTGCAATCTATAGATCAGTGGAGAGATTCTTGATATGTGAGAGAACATATGGCTAAAATGTGATGCTTTATTAAAAGTATTCCTCCACTATGGTGTGAATACATGTTTCAGCCATTTTAACAATAATCACATACCATTTAATCTTGAAATTCACTTTTAACTGAACCAAGTGATAAAAGGTATAACTCTAAATCAGATGGACGTCCTGAAAACTCTAGAGGATACCATGAGGGAATCGATTGAGGTGTCCCTGAAGACTGATGCCTTCTCATTTCCAGGTAAAATGTCATCTCTTAAAAAATATATTTAAAAAGATATTTCACAGGAAATCTTAATTAAAACTGTTTTCTTAGATGTTTCAGCACAGCTTGAGATGGTCCAAAAGCGAATTGATGAGCTGAAAAGCTACTAAAACACAGAACATGTTTGAGGTAAAGAACATAATCGATAAATTATATTCTTACTGAATGATGCAACAAAAACTTTCAGCTCTAATTGTGGCTTTTAATTCAACAGCTGTTCTCATTGGAGGATTCACCATCATAACATGCTGCATCATAACATCCTACAGGATGAGAAACTGTATAATTATGAAAAATATATAATTTTCTTTGCCACTTCATTCATCATTTTTTTCACTTGGAGGGGTCCTTGCAACAATTTTTGTTTTGTTTATTAGAGTCTGAATATGGAAAAACTTAGAAAGTGAAATTAAAGTCAAGTCAAAGTGTCTTTACATAGTTTTGTAGGAAGAATTACAAGAAAAAGATATAGAGGACATTTTAATTTTTTTATAATTTTGTTTGATATTTTATGTGTGAAATGTTTTGATGAATTTTTAGTATACGTTGCTTACACTTCTTTACTCTTTAATAATTTTAGAAACGTTTGCATCACATTTGAAATAAAAATCAAATCAAAGTGTCTTTTTCTAGTACTGCAGACTAATTGCAGGAAAAATGAAAGACATTTCCATTTTGAATAGTTTTCTTTGATATTGTATACGTGACAAATGTTATTCATTTCTAGCATGTTTATTACACTTTTTTTTAACTCAGTTTTTTTTTTCAATAAACTTTTTTTCTCTTTTGTTAAGCTTACTTAAAGAATGTAAAGACATATAACAAAGTTTGAATTATTTCTGCCTGCTAAAGATTAATTATATATTTTTTTTAGCTGTTCAATTGTAATCTTGATGCATGTGTGTGTGGTTTAGTAGCCTGTAGTAAAATTTAATAAGATGTACATGAACATGTCAGATGATTTTTTTTTTTACTCAAATTTTCTGAGTTTCATTCACTGGGAAATTCATAACTATTATTATTATTGTTCTACTTTCTACAATAGATCTGAAATACACATAAACAAATAAAACTATGTATGACACTTTGTGCTTTTCTCTTTTCAATGTAATTATTGAAAAAATATGACATTATATCATTTTCACTGCAGGTACCAACTTAGTGTTTGAACGATAAGGGTGGATCTTTAACATCTCCAGCTGTTAAGATACACTGTGCATAATCCTACATTGTCCTGCAGCCACAAAGCCTGAGTGGAAGAAAAAACTATTAGGGAAAGGTGGAATAAGAGTGACTGCATTATTAAAGAAATGACAAGCAAAATCTACTCAAAAGTTTGAGAAAGCTTCATGAAGAGTGGACTGAAACTGCAGTCAGCTCATCAAGCGGCATTATGGGTTGATCTACACATATGCTACAAATGTCATATCTTGTATCTAGTGTGAAAGTAATTAGCATTTTATTTTAAAATCAAGGTCCCATGGAGAGGCAGAGTGGAGAGGCACTGAATGTGTTTCTTAAAGTCAAGTGTGAAATTTCCACTGTCAGTGATGATGCGGGAAGCTGCGTCATCTGCTGGCATTATTTCATTGTGTTCTGAAGTCTGCAGTCAATGCAGCCAAATGAGTGAAAATGAATATTGAACTTTTTCACAATATTCAAATTTGGTAAGCTGTGGTCGTATGATTTTAAATAGTTATGCTTACCTTAACTTTTTAAGTCTCAACTAAAAATCCTTAGTCGCAACTAATCTCTTATTGAGTCATTTCGGAGAAAAAAAAAAACTTTTATTGTGCATTTTCAAATTACAATAAAATACCACAGCAGTGTAGACTTTGAGATAAGCAGTGAGACACAGAAATGTCTCAGAGTACACTCAGCACCATGAGCTCAGAAAGCACAGAAAGTTACTCAAAGCCCTTCAACAAATCTTTTAATTAAACACACATCAACAGTGCCTTGCAAAATTATTCATGTCACATTTTCACGTGCAAAACACACACATTTCGGTATTTTACTGAGATTTTATGTGACAAACACAAATTAGTGCAAAATTACTGAGTGAAAGAAACACAAAATATAGTGTTCAATATTTACTGTAAATAGACTTATAAAATAGTTACATTTTGGAAAGATTATGTGTAAAATCCTCTCATTCTATACTTGCATCCTTGCACCATTCTCCTCCAATAATACTTTTTTGCCCACATAACTAAGATGTCTTCTCCTTATATCTAAAGTCAGGTTGAACCCTGGCCAAATATCCAAGTTCCACATTTTTGCTTTTGTTTCATTTCACCTACACTATTACAAGTTTTTCTGCATTAATTAAATTCAAATTATTTATATAGCACAATATGAATCTGTACTGTACTCTTTGCACTCTTCACTCCAGGCCAAAGTGAAATTCCCTGAAACAAATATATATAGAATTCATATATAGTGAGAACAAGTCAACCTGTGTTTAGTTTAGTTTAGTAGAAATCCAGCTGTTCTGTGAAGGTGTCAGATGTTTGTTAAAGAACACTGGAGGAACATTATCTGAAGAACATTATCTTAGCATTATCTCCATTTTATGGAGAATTGTTCAATCCATCATCTAAAAATGAAGAGAGTGTGAGAAAACTGCAGACCAGGCAAGGACGGCAATACTAAAACAACCCAGGAGGCTCATAGTGACTCTAGAGGAGCTGCACAGATCCATAGCTCAGTTGGAGGAGTACCCTTACAGGACAACTATTAGTTGTGCACTCCACAATAACTGGAGAGGCCAAAAGAAATCCACTTTTGAAATAAAAAACATCAGTTTATGTAAGCCAAGTATGGAATACAGCAGAGATGTGGGAGTAGTTGTTCTAGTCAAATGTTAACAAGAGTAATGATGTGGGAATGATTTTGTTTTGGCAGGGGTGGAAGAACTGGTCAAAGTTGATGAGAGCCTGTAGATGCTTTTAAAAAGATTTAAAACCCGTAAGTGGTTTTGTAATTTCACAATTATGCACCAGTTTTTGTCAGCCTACCATGTAAAATCCCAATACAAACATTTCAGTCTGTGGCTATTAGGTGCATACTGGTAAAGTCAAGATATGAATGGATTTGCAAGGCTCTGTGTACTATAACTTTTAAGATAAGCATTTTATCATGAAACTGATATTTGTAGAAAAAAATCTTACCATCATGAGCACTTAGTCTTTATGATCACAGGAGATAGTAGAGAATAAACATGCTGGCAGCAAGGTGTAGTTCTGAGGCACAGATAGATTTCTGACTTTTAGTGTTTTGGCTCTGACTAACTTTCAGCCATTGAGCAGCTGCCTTTCTCTATCTTAAATACTAGCCTGCTTATAAAATTCCTCAACATACATTACATTCTTGTTTTACAATCATTTGTTGGAAAAAAAAAAAGACAGCATCAGCAGTTAACAACAAATGTGAACAATAAGATTGTATTACAAATGGGCATTACAGTGAGATGGTGAACACAGACAGGAGTGAAATTTAGCAGCGCTGACAGTAGTGGCTTCACTTGTACAATATATCTCATAAAATATCTTAAAAATTCAAGTTAGCAGATCATCAGGCATTAATGTGTTTGTTAACTCAAAGAGTGCTGCTTCTTCAAGGTGTCCAAGCGCCTCACTCTCTCTTCTGGAGTCTTTCTGTACCAGCTCCTGGAGACAAACGGACACTGTCAGTCCTTATAGTAAAGGCATTTACTATAATGCCTTTACTATAAAAGGCATTATACTATAGTGAGAATTTTACTTTATCAAAATGCTCACTTAAAAAGATTTCTATTTTTGTAATTTATTTACAAGTCAAGGTTCTATCTAGTCCTTCGTGCACACAGAGAAAAGGACAACTCTAAACATTCAGCTAGACTTGAACATTGCTGTTCAATGGATACAAAGACTCTGACTATAAGTACATTCCTGGAGTAATACTGAACAAACCTTAAGAACTAGCTCAGAAAAGATGTGTAAACAAAACTAAGTGCACAAACTAACAATTAAACACATCAAGAACTGAGTTAGGTTAAAAGAGATATACTGAGTCAAGTTTGAATTTATCAAACTAATCTCAGTAACAGCAATAAACTAATCAATTAATAAATTCATAATGGAAAAAAGTAAATAAAAATTAAACATTTGTTTATGTGATTTAAAGCACTTTACAGGTTTAAAAGAAAACATAAAAGGTAGAAAAGTCACCCCTGGCGGTTAAGCTGGCCTGGAGTAGAAGACGTCTGTCCCTGACTTGACTTTTGAACTCTGGAAAATAAGCAAAACAGAAATTTCAAGAAAATTTGAAAAACAAAAAGTTTAAAGACTAAACTGCACAAACACTAAGAACATGATGTCAAAGAAAGTGTAAAAGGAAATAAATATCAGTAACCTGTTGTTGGTAGTTGGGCTTTTTGGCTTATGCTGCACCTTCCTGGCCACTGCTGACGATTTGCTGACCCTGAACAATGGCCAAATGTAAAGAACAAAACAGAGCTAATCATCTGGATTATCTGATATCAGAAAGGAATGTTGGGAGGAAAATCCCAAGAGATACTCTACTGATGAATGTAAGTAACTTTCCATTTATCCGTAAGGAATAAATGAATGTGTGTTTTTCCTTACTTCTTCTTCCTGTCCAGAGACCTCTGTGTAGCAGCAGAGAGAGACATTCTGTCTTTGGGGGTCTTGGCTTTCTCCTGCAGGGGAGATAAAATTTTACAATGAAATTTAGTAAAATGGGGTGCTAGAGCAAAATCAAAAAATATTCTCCCTAAATATCTTCCTCTGCTTTATTTTTCTATGTGATACTTGGCCAGCATTTTCTGATTACCAGATCTCGAAGCTTCCTCTCTGCGCGCAGCTCCCTGTCCTGTTGCAGAAGGGCCAGTCGGTCCCTCAAAGGTATTTCAAAGAAGATCTCATGGATGTCATACAAGGCTGCACGTAGCTGAAAAACAAATGTGCCAATATAAACACAAAAGGCAAGAGGGACCTCTTCTGGCTACAAACAGTAATATATAGCCATACCTGGGCTCGGACTCGCTCCTGCAGGGAGAGATCTTGTGCTGTGTAGGGTCCTCTCTTCTGTGCAGCTTCAGTTTCAAATGACTGAATGAATTCTTGCGTATCCTAAGGTAGAGATTTATAAAAGTATTTTTTGGCCTAGTTAATTTTCCGAATAGTTTTAATGTTTTTATTTGTGAAGTCCTTTTTGTCTGGATGTGCTCTTACCACAACGGTTTGGCACAGGTGTTTCAACTTCTCTGTTTTGAGCAGCCTGCGTACGAGGAAGCCACGAATCATGGCACCAATTTTACAAAAAGCCTTATGATGCTCTGCTGTTAGAACCTGCAAACCAAATGAGTTCACAGAGAGAGGGAAATCATAAAAATGGACAAGGTCCACTAAAAACTGTTTTCAAATCAAATCAAATAAACCAGAACATAGACAATGGACAAAACCAGCTATGTTCTCAATGCCAAAGATGTGATCTGTAAAAAAACTGACTTGTGGAGATATAAATAGTGCATAAACAGCAATGGAAATTTTGAAGAGAAGTTACTTTGGACAGTTGTGGTTTCATCAATTTGGAACCCAACCTGCTAATTTTGAGTTAACTGGTACAAATGTATCAAAAATAAAACAGGGGTCAGGGCTCCTACAATATTTTCATTGAAAAATATTTTCATTTTCCCTAATTGGGCGTGACTGAACTTATAGAGTGTGACATGTTCATGTCAGCATCATGAAATACTAGGTTTCACTCATTCAGTGTGGAGGAAGCATGTTTGTGCTGACCAGACTTAGCCTCGCCCGGGATTTGCTTGCTGTCCGTGAAGAGCCCCACAGATAAGCAGCAGGCTGGACGGGGGGAGTCATCACACTAGCAGGAACTGCACTGGGAAAACCTGGAAGAACATTAAACAATATACTTTCAAGAAGAAAAAAAAATAGCTTCAAACTACTATCTGCAACAAAATGTTTTAAAATAACAAGACACCAATGAATTAACTGGTACCTAAAGTGTGCCCAGACGTTCGCTCTGATGTGTGAATGGGGCTCAGTCCAGGACAGGAGGGGCTCATAATGGGACAGCTGCCACTCACAGACCTATGGCTCCAGTCAAATGTGTCCCCACTTCTTGGCCTCTCACATTCGTGCCTCTTCAGTCTTTTCTCTGTCTCCTCGAGCTCCTGAACATCAGAGAAAAAAATTAAAGCTTTCTGCATTGAATAAGACACACAGACAAGACAATGAACTCAACATGCACAGGTTATGACTTAAAAATACAATTTCAACTAATTTCCTTTGTGTTCTGACAAAATTAAATTTCTTATAGCTATCTCAAATAGTTTGAAATAAATGTTTGAATTATATTAGTGTCGGATGAATCAGTGTTATATGTTTCAAATTAAATTATTGAAATAAAATAACTTTCCTATCAGAGTCTAGCTTATTTAGCCTCTGCACCTTGAGAGACATAATGAGAGATAAAATTATCACTGCATTGCTAAAAGAACTTCTATGACACTTTGTTCTCACCAGATGAAGGCGCTGTTGCTCCTTTTCCTGCTCAGCTAGGAGGATGGACATCTGCAGGGCATGTTCCTCCTCTAAACGCCTTTGCATATCTTCCAGAGCCTGGGCTCGCCACTGCGTCTCCTCTATTTGTTTCCAAACATAAATACAAGCAAAATCCTCTTATTCCACTTTAGAATACAAGGAAGAATTGCATTTAGAGGAACTATTCAGAAACAAAATATCCAATAAATAAACTCACCTGGCTTGGCTTGTAACTCAGTAGTATTTTTCAGGACAACTGGTGTTTTCTTGCTGTTGTTCGGCACTCGAGGCTCATCTGGACTCCCACGAGGCCTCAGCAGACACGGAGAAGGGCTTTCTACTTTGTATGATTGGTTTAAAGGGGCAGCAGGGGTGTGCCTACTTGGAGCAAACCATGTAACACCTGCCATGAAGCGAGGGAGCCTTTCCTGGCTCCGGTCAACCTGCTCAGCTCCAGACTGGAAGGTATTTAGCTGGCTGTCCAGTGTGTGGCAGCGCCGGCGAAATCCTAAAGACAGATGATCGTGGCGTGCCATGGCGCTGGAAACAGAGGCACTCACAGGGCTGTTGTTCTCTTGCACTGGACTGGTACCACAGTGACTGGACCAACGGTTGCTATCCCTCCCCTCTACGCCCCAGTTGCAGATGGAACCAGCTGAGAGAGCCTCTGACCAGTCCATCCGTCCAGCGCCATCCTCTACCCTCCCCGGGCTTCGAGCGATTAGGTCTGCAGGGCCAATAGGAAACGAGATGTGGATGTTCCCTGTAGAAACTGGCCGTGGCTTGCGCCTACAAGGACGGGGGCTAACACTGGACTCCGGACTAGGGATGTGAGCATATCGCTCTGGTGTGACAGGTGAGAGGGGGGCAGACTTTTGGGGACTGGGGTCATACAGAGGCTGCTGCTGCTTTGGAGATGGGCCAACTGGGCTGTGGTGCAGACTGAATCCAGACTCAACACCTGAGTCCCTGATGGGGCTACATCTTGGCTGCTGTTTAAGAGAAACACTCTCTGCTGGGGGAGCTTTGCTGATCGGGTCAACCATCTCTGATGATCTCTGCTGATTCTGCTCCCGTTGCACGTACTCCCTTGATCTCTTAAGGAGGCTGTCCAAGCTTATGTCCTCATCATCCTCCTCTTCATCTTCACTTCTCTCTCCATTGTCTACCTTTAAGTCCTTCTCTTCTTTATATCCATTAACAATGGGAGTTTCAGAGCTAGAATGAGAAGGTGGCTCTACTGCGTTTGACCTAAATTCAGGAACTTTAGGAAGCCCAGGTGAGTCAGTGACCAAAGTGTAGCCGCTGACAGTCGCAGATTTACAAACTGGGGGATTTATGTCTTTCTCATGTGGCACATCTTGCACCTGAAGAGAAGATATACAGACAAAAAGCTTTTCAAGTAGAGGGAATACTATACACACAAATTTCTTTAAGCACTGAGTATTACTGTGCATTCACCTTGTACAAAAAATCAGATTTTTGAGGTTCTCATTTGAATTACAAGAAGAGAGAATCCAGATGGGGAAAGTCAGAAATTATCAAGCAGCCCAGAGTTTTTGGTCCAGACATAAAGAATGTTACAAAAATTGTTCATTGAAACTATTTACACTTCTGATAGTTTGTTTCTGAATAAACCAGTGGCACATAAAGCTGTACAATCGGCTTGCACTGCTAACAGTAGTTAGCACTAAAACAAATGATAAATCCCACTTTTTTCTGACATTAAAATAAGTTCCACTGAATATGGGTGTGAAGTCAATTCCGGCTCCAACAATTGACTTCAGAAATAAAGTGAATGCAACTATTATTGCATTAAAAGTTTTAATGCACTCAGAACAGGCTTGAATATCTTCAACTTTAAGTCTTTATTGGTCTGGTTGTACTATTCATTCTTCAGGCTAGAATAATCAAACAAAATGTTAATAAACTTATTATGGAGTTTTTGTCAAATTCATATTTATTCCTTGTTTCTTTAAATGCATCCAAAATGTATCATCATTCCACCCATTTTTGAATAATCTGTCAGTCACCTCCCATATTATAAGTTTGTTCCAGTTTGTCAGATTAGCAAGAGAGTAACATTTCTTTACAAAATGAGTTAACAAAACATGGCTTTAATCAGATAAAAATAGCTCAGCTCTCTGGAGCAGATTTTAAATCAGACACTCTGTATTTAACTCTGCAAATGTCACCAGAGATTTTTCAGCAATGTGTAATTTAGTTTTTGGCACAGATGCACCTATTTTTACACTTGAGGCATGAATGTGAGATCTTCACATGAAGGAAAATGTTCCTTTTTCTTTTCTCGCTGTAATAAACATTTCAGAATGTCTTTGACTGATTTGTTTTCATTGGAAACTTTATTGCCAGTGCAACATTTTCTTCATATCAACTTGTCGCTATGTGTCTAGGAACATGCATTATAAACTGACCTGTACTTGGTCCATAATGACTTGAACTTGGTCCATAAGCTTGTTTCTCTGCAGGTTCTCTCTGTTCTGCTCCAGCTGGATTGCCCTCTGTCTGTAGCCATGCATCTCTGTGTGCTGCTCTGCACGCAGCTGGAAGAAAAAGTTCACTTTTTTATCTTCTGTTAAGGTGATTCACAAACTCTGATGGTGTCCACATATAAAGGATTAGCTAAAGTCCTTACCAAAGAGTGTTTTTAAAACATTTTTGGAGTTAAAAATCTTTCTGAGATCCAGTGGAAGAGTTTCTGAAATGGGATGATGCCTGAACACTTTTTGTCAGCAGTGAGGAACAAATGGGTTTTTCAATCAGTCCTGATTCAGCTCCTCATCGATTACCTTTTCTCTATTTTCTGTGCCAACTGCTGATGTAATTAGACTCTTCTTATGTGAGAACTCCTGACTTCATTTTGCAAGAAAATCACAAGTTCAAATAGTGGAATGCCTTAAATGGAAAGTTGTTTTTAAAGCTACAAACTGGACTCATGCTTTATCTATTAAGGGAAGCCAAACAATGAGCCAAAATAGGCTTTGAAGTGATGAATTACCATAATTTACAGAAATGTTAGATTCTCAAGGTCTTACAAAGAAATGCTTGAGTATATTTTTACACACCTTACTGTATTACATTTCTCAGTACGATACATATTTGCAACAATAGCAAGAGTAAGGAGGAGGATTTAGTCTATTCTTAATCACTTTACAGGTTTATTTTCTTTTGTTGTTATTTTGCCCTTATGATAAAATGTCTTATTTTTTGTTCTTTGTCTGAAGATGCATCCTTCCATTTTGACTGTCTCTCAGCTGTTGTTACACTTGAATTTCTATTGAGGGAAAAAATGATATTTCTATTCTATTCTATAAAAATTAGAAATGAAGTGGAAAAGATTCTTCATTTTATAAACTGTATTGTGCTGCTCATTCCACTCTGAAAACAAGTAGTCAAACAAATTGATAAAAGCCACAAATAAATATGATATTCATCTATATAAAGCATAAACTTCTCATTGGAACTGGAACTCACAAACATTGGTTACATATCAAATTATTAGATATGGGTTCTGTTTTGAACTAATAAAAAAGCTCATTATTTCACAACTCAGGCTTGCTTACCAAAGGCAACAGTATAGGTCTCCCATGAAAGCGGATGACAGAGCATGTTTTCAGGGAACAAAGCGGCTCACATATCTTCTTCTTGAGTTTCCCCTCCTGCAGCATGGCCAAACTCCGCATACAGAACTCCTCATAGCTCTCCATCCCTGGATGACCACACATCCACTCTCTGGGCAGGAAATACACACCATGTAGCCTTGTCACCCAGCTGTTTAAATCAAATCACATACAGACTTGGAATTACAAAAAGTTTGCAAACCCTTTGGTTTACTGTATTCTTAGTTTGACTACATACTATTTTCACATATTTGCCACACATAACTTCAAAAGTCAGCATTGTATCTTATGCAATAGGCCAACATGAAGTAGTGCATAACTGGAAAGAGGAAGAAGAAAATATATAGTTTCTGAGGTTTAGGACAAATAAAAATCTGCATTTGTATTTAGTTCATGGAGGCCAGAGATAGAGGTTTAAGGCATAATTATATTTTAATACAAGCATAACGTGAAACAAGAAAAAGTAAACCTACTGCAGACCTATTTAAAACTAAATTAACAGAAAAAGAAGAAGAAACATTTATTAAAGAAGCATCCAATAAGCTGTGGATCTCCAGAGAGCCACAGCTCAGGTAGAACAATTCAACAACAAATTTTCCCACCTGATTTATGCATCACACGGAACACCGTAACGTTTACTACCATTACAGTATTAAAAAGTGTTTACTACCGTAACAGTAAAACACGGTGGTGGCAGCATCATGCTGTGGAGATGCTTTTCTTTACCAAGCACAGGAATGCTGGTCAGATGGATGTAAAAACCAATAATAAGATGAAGATAAAGTTACAGCCAATTCAACACTGAAATGATTTAGATCAAAGCATAATCATGGGTGGCAGTGGGTCAGTCAAAACCAACACAAACACACACCAAAATTTTCTAATTTTTATTTTCTAAACCATATGAAGACCAAGTATCCTCTCCCACTCCACTTTTCAGTCAAGCATGACTTTGTGCTGGCCTGTCAGATAAAATCTCCAATAAATACATTTATTTTTGTGAAAAGGGGGTGTCAACATTCTTAAAGGCACTATATGACCATCTGTAATCAGGAGAGTAGAAGTCCCAGATAAGAATGAAGCTCAGTTTGCTCTCATATTGTCTCATCACATTCCTGCCATTCTTTTCTGAAGGACTTAGCTGATGACTCGTTTCAAATGCAGATGGGATTGTGTGTCAGAACAATACAATGTATTGATTTGATTCAATCAACTCTTCTGTTCCATTGTGAGAACAGAGTAGTTCATGCAGATTTACATCCTAAGACAATTGGCACAAATATATATATATATATATATATAGCCTATATATATATATATATATATATATATATATATATATATATATATATATATATATATATATATATATATATATATATATATATATATATATATATATATATGGAACATAATCGTAATAACACCTGTGTAGGTATATAAAGTTTAAATTAAAGACAATGCCTTAATAAAGCTGTAACCTCTGACCACCGCACAGATTCATGCAGCCCACGGCAGCACAACATGGGCGGGGATGGTTTTCCTTTTTGTCCCGCGCTAATCTAGAGCATGCTTCGCCGAATTTGTTCACTGTAATTCAATGATCGCCGCCGGCAGCTTCTGAAAGCGTTAGAGACCTTTCAATCCAGATGTGCCACATCGAATAACAGCAGATAACCAACGAGTAACCATACCTGCAGTTCAGAAACAGGGAAACGGCCGACTGTCTTCTGTCGTCTTGCCCCGACGGGAAGTCTTACACGCAAAAAAATCTCGCGGAGATGCTAAATATGGGAGGTTTTAGCAGCATGGTTTAGCGGCTGTGCTCCTAATGACGGTTTGACCATCATCACGGTCATGATTTCTTCCAACCCTTCCGGGCTCCAACAGCGCCTCCTAGCAACGGAAGCGCGCGCCGAACAGTCCTCCAGCGTTTCCTCGTTCAGTCGCTGTTTCTAAACGCATTTCTTATGATGTTAATACATGCATTACGTACGTCAAATAGTTCCTGTTTTAGTGTAACACAAAGTAGTGAAACCTTGTGTAAGGGAGAATGAAAGCCTTGAACAGGAAATATATTTACTTAAAAGTAAATATATGGTGAACATTTATTGAACTAATTTAGAAAATTATAACCTTGGGAATTTTGTACAAAGCATAAGAACAATTTCAATTTCTCTATAAGTTTTACACACATGAGATGCTGTAAGGTCTACTGTGCTTTCTATGCTGTTGAAAAACCATCTTGTGTTTTAAAAAAATAATAATAATGTTGCAAGTTATGCAAAAGCACAATTAACTTTTTATGAAAGCAAGAGAAAAAAAAGTTTTCTTTGACCCATGAGAAAGGGGAAAAGGATATTTTTATAGTCTCCTAAACATTGTAGATGTTTTTCTTGTTATGTTGCATGATGCAAGAGAACCTATTTCCATAATGTGAAACATTACAAAGATATTCACTAACAGACAAACAAGATGCAACAAAATATTCAGCTAAATATTTTATCAGACTTCTTTCTCATTCTGATGCCCCAAAAATGCAAAACACAACACAGTAAAAAACAAAATTATGTTTCAGCTTCACAACTCATTTCTTCTTTGGTCAGGAGAAGCTGCATATATTGGCTGAGAAATGCGCACATTTTCCTGGTTGTCTCGAAGCATGGCAGCAATTTCATCATCTGTAAAGGTGGCTTTCGAATCCTGTCACAAAGACAAAACAATGGAAACAAATAATGACAGAACGAAGTAAAAAAAGTTAGAACAATATATCAAAATCTTACTTGAAAGGTCCGGCGCTTGACCCCAACACATGCCTGGGACAGCTCATAACACAACACTATATCCAAATTCTTTGGCTCTTCCTTCACTAAAGCAGCCCGGAACTGGTCACGGTGAGAATCTAAGAATAAAAAATCAGTAATAAAATAAGCAGTGAAAGTCATATTAACATTGTGAATTAGTTGGGAGGAGGAGGGGGGCGGGGGGTTTGTTACATTTCTTTTTTCTGTGACAGTTTTACCCAACAAGTGCATGCAGGCTGATTTCATTGTGTCTTTAGAGACATGGTCATGGTTGGAAGTCAGAAGTTTCTCACACAGGCGCCAACTGAGGAGCTTCTCTATCGTCCTGTGTCTGCTCCCAGCTGGGGCTTCTTTTATTCCTTCTGCAATCTCTGGAAAGCATTGAGCATAAATTATTTGCTTCCTCTGCCTTAAAGAAAATAAAAAGTCATACCCCAAACATGTGCCTCCCAGATATAATAAATAAATCATTTACAAGTTGTGAGGCAAGTTTAGTCCTGCATACCTTGTGCTGCTGTTAGGCAGCTTTCGCAGTAAGAGTCTGATAAATAAAAAAACAAACAACAGACTGAAGATTGAAGTAAGCTTACACTGAGACATGCAAACAACAAATTATTTCAAAGCTAAAAACCCACACAGTAAATGTGTGGGTTTTTTTTTTACTTACAGCGATCTGTGGCATGAGCCTGCACAGGAAGATAGTATCCCATACACATAAGAAAAATGATTGTTTTCATGGTCTTCGATGTGTACATTATGTGCCACCTAAACAGAAGAACAAGCTTTTTACCTTTTAAACAGTCTGGTCATGTGTTCTTGACAACAATGAGTTCACGTCACAACCACAGACGAATGCCAACTGTACTGTCCAGTTTTTCAGGTTTTGTCTGGATGCTTGAAAAACAGCCCGGGGTTTGAGAAGGTGCTGAGTGGAACATCAGATGAGGTTCTGTGAAGGAATCCTTTTATCAGCAATGAACACTTCTAAATTTAAACCTAAACTCAAACTACCAATTAAATTTCTATTTTACATTTTTACCTCTTACTTGATACAAATCTTCCTTAAAGTACCAGACCTGAAAAAATAGTTTATTTTGATTATCTTTATTAGTAGCATAATGTTTGTATGATAATAATAATATAATTTCTGACACGTTGTTTTAATTAGTTCAACTAAACTGTTCAGAAAATAAGTCCCTTGCTGTTCTCAAGAGCGGTCACTAGGTGGCACTGTTGTACGTTGAGAGCGTCGTCACCGTATTTGTTGAGGCGTTAGACTATTTAACATATTTGGGCATTTTCACCATATATGGACTGGCTGCGTGACGTACGTGTCCGAACGGAAAGTATGATCATGTGTGCGGGAAAAGCGAACGTTAGACCAAACATATTTTTAATGGAAAAGACAATGTGTACGAGTGAGCTCAGGATATAGCTCGTATACGACCTAAAAACACCCTCAGGCAGAGTTAACGCAGTGAGTCGTCTATTTTTTGTGTGTTTTCTGTTACTTTTTCACCCAAACTGATTACTCGTGTTTTATCAGGTGTTATGAATGGTTTAAGCTAACATTGCTGTTTTTCAAAGTTCTGTTACTTTTTAAACTGTACTCTCGTTTTATTCTGAGCTGTTATGAATAATTGAAGCTAACATTGGAGTTTTTCCTCATTTCTGTTACTCTTTTTCAACTAATTACTCACGTTTCATTCTGAGCTGTCATGAATAGCTGAAGCTAATGTTGCAGCTCTTCACATTTCTGTTAGCCTGGTTGTATCGTTGTTTTGCTTGGTGACAAACCCATTTTCTCATTTCAACTGATACTAATAACGAGTACTGTTTGCTAAGCAACAGTATCATGTTAATGAGACAATGTGCTGGCAAAAGACAAACTGGTTCCAGAACGACCAGTCCTGTAACGAGCCAGTCTTTTCTTATTTAGGTTGAACTCCAGTAATTCCTGTAAAGCCATGGCGTTTTCTCTTGTGGAACTTTCATACCAGCTATTTCATTTTATTTCCTTCAAAATGAACAATTGAATGAATTATATTAGATTTTTTTTAAGAATCAGAAGTATCATACCCCACATAAAAATAGGAAAAATGGCTAAAAATTAAAAGAGAAATATTTAAAGGAAGTATATACATTATTTGTGTAAATACCCTACAAAAAAGTTTATATCCCTAAAGGTCTAATGGCAGCTAAAAATGTTGAAGCCCACAGCTTATTATTATCAGCGTCATTGATTATGTTGACTAGAAAGTCCAACTCCAGATGTTTACTCTTTGGGGAAGAGCTGCATTCTATCTTTAGTGTCTGAGAAAGTCCAAAAAAAAAGTTAGCTGTCAAGCAGATAGGTTTTCATAACTAAGGCTCTTTTTTCAATTTGTCCAAAACAAGATTAGCTGTCATTCACATCTGAAACCTTAATAATTTTGAAGGACAGCAATTGTTGAGTCATTTAGTGACTCTACTAAAAACAAGTAATTCTAAAACTCTTAGCCTACATTATCCCTTACAATAGAAATGGCTATTTGTTAGGCTCCTTATTTATAAGTGCTATATTTCAAGAATTTGTGCTGCAGAACTAAATAGCAATGTAATGAGACTCTTAGGAGTAGGATTGTTTTGATCTGGATTTTGCTGTAGTCTTGCATTCTTTGCTGTGATAAAGGTTGAGCTTTTTAAGCTTCACACAGAACATATTACCTTCTGTTGTCAAAATCAAACATCCAGAGAAGAGCAGTGGAACTTTCTCCATGGGCATATTTTGCACTAAGCTGAAAGACGCCCATTGTCCAAACATAAAAACTGTCCAATGGTTTATTAATCCGTTGGGGAACAAGCTTTAAACAAAGTTCTATTCTTACTGCTTCCTGCTACTCCCTTTGCACTTCTTTTTTTTTTTTCTTGTCTTTTTTTTTTTGAAACATCATCCCGGTGCCAGCTATGTAATGAGCCAACTCATGCCAAAACATTTGTCTAAATATACATTTGCAAATGAAAATGTTAGATGAACCAAAAAAAGTGGATAAATGAAAACATATTTTAATTAATTCAAAGTGTTTATTTTTTATGCAATTTTATAGATTTTCAATTTGCAACATATCGGTTTATGTTCACATATATAAAGGGATGAATAGTGTTTCCTGGCTAACAGTGAAAGTCTGTCCTTTTTGTTTTTTTCTGTTAATTTATTTAGTTAGTTCCTGCAGGCTTAAAAAGATACTTTATCTGTTGTGTTGATAAAAGCAGATAATATCAGCAAGGAATCTTATGACTGGAGACAAATGAGATGTGACAAACATCTGAAACAATAAATTGCATTTTTGGAAATGACAATAAACACTGCTGCTCCCACATCATAACTGATATATAATTAGAAAATTGTGTCATCGCACCATGTCTTCAAGCTCCTGTTACTGTGCTTCATTCTTCTACTTCATTCCTTTTAACCTGTAATACAGAGTTTTATTTACATTTCTTGTTCTCTGGAGAAAGTCTATTGTTTTGTTTAAAAACAAAGATCAGGTTTGTGTGATTTTATTTTATTTTTTCTTAATGTGTTTTGAGGTGGGGTCTGGAGTTTGTTTTTCTTGTTGAGTTGAAAATATTTTAAATCTGAAGCAGCAAATAATTTATGGTTTAGCTTTACATACATCTTTAAAATAGCGCTTTTTGTTACAAGTGATGCTTAAACATGAAATGAACTGGAATAGTTAGGATAATACTTTGAGAAGAAGACAGGTGTAATTCAAAAATTTGTTTCCTAATGACTATAAAATATATATTAGAACAGTATGATTATCTGTTACATTTATACAGGACAACTTCCACAGGTTTCTAATAGTTTTGCTTCACCTCTATAATGGTGATGCTTTACAGTGAGAGAAGTGACCATAGTAACTCAGCTGCTTGCACATTGCTCGTAATAAATAACTGACTGATAATAGATGGGATTCATTGGAAGTGGCACTTGTCATGCATTGACCCTGAGCTCCTCAGGGGTTCAGTGTGAGTCCTGTCCGTGCACAGACTTGCAGCTCCAGTGCGGTGCGAGCCTTTGCAGCTTTCCTCCAATAGATTCAAACTGGGCGCTCCGGCCCGACAATGGAGGGCCTGGGAGTGGGAGGATCAGCTCGGGAGCGATCCTTCTGGCTTTGTTAACGCCCGGGAAGCCATTTTGGAAGTCAGCTTGTTGTGCCGTAGCAGTTAACAGACACTTGCTACCTGCAAACTTCCGAGTGTTTCTGTCAGAAATTTGCGGTGACGGAGCGGATCGATTAGTCCGCAGCGATTGGGAACCTGTGAGGATCCCCGCAGCGGAATGCTGGCGGAACTCTGCGCATCTTGCGTTGTTCCTTCGGATTACGCTTTTAAAGAATAACATGCATGGATTCTGACGCGGGCAAGTTGATCACCCTGTTGTTGCCACAGTTTTGTGTTGTTGTGCATTTGAATCGATTTCAAATAAACCTTGCTGCTCTCCTTTACTAACTGCTTCGACAGCGAACGCTGTATCCGGCCTTTGTTTATTTATTTAATTTATTTCGAATCTACACGAATCTATTCAATTCACGGTGTCATATATCAACCTATGTGGATGCACATTTCCATTGAAGTGTGTTTGCATCGGGGGATATAAAGACAGAGCGGCGCAGTGTGTGTGACGCTGTTATCTAAATACTGCCTGCTCCAAATATAGCGCAGGGCAACGTGAGAATGTTACGAGGCTGACATGTCATTTGACTCGACAGCCTGCTGTTTATTAATCTGAAAGTAAACATGTTTGAATTTAAATTTCTTTTTGGTCCGGGTCATTGTTTTGATGGTCGGTGGCCTAATGTTTTTTCAGAGTACGTCGCAGGTGGTTTGCGTAAAGGAGGCAGCAAAATATCTGATATGAGGTGAACCAGGATATTAATCTAACTACAAGGAAGCTGTCTTTGTTAACTGTAGCGGTGCCTTTTTTAATTTTTTAATTTTTTATTTTTTATTTTTTTTTTGCTGTTATTGTTCAGCCTGTCTCATAGTCTTTGCTCTGCAAAATTGAAACTGATGATAATTTTGGAATTGATTCATTGAATTTCTCTACATGTCTAGAAACGAACTAATCCTTAGCTGAATTTAATCAGTCCCCTTGGCTTTTGGGTATTTGTTTCCCTTTATCCCTCCTTTTCGGTTTGGGGACTTTAGTGTGGATTTGATTAAGATTATGTGTAAGGATTTTGGTGGAGATTTGTTTTCCTGTTAATTGATTGTACAATTTTTCTCAACTAAAGTCATAGTGTTAGCTATGCCCACATTACATATAGTGATATATTGCTCTAAGGGTGAAATGAGAAATTTGTAATGTGTTATGCTGTCCTACTGCAAACCTACCAAGGCATGACCAGCTACCTAATCAAAGGTTTGACCCTAGTATGAATCTAGGAATGTACTAGATTCATAGTTATCTAGTATAAATTAGATAAGTCCTTGAGGGTGAGTCCCTCTTTGCTTAAAAACACATAAAACGATAAATTAGTTTAGGACAGACGACTCGAGGTTTATAACAAAATCTAATTTTATGTTCCAAGAAAATTGTTGTTTAAAGTTTATTGTTGTCCTATAAGTTTATCTTAATTTTTAACTGTTTACAAGACATAATTGGAAAATATTTTCATCTCCAACTGTGGAAAACTGGTAGAGACAAATCTCTAAAAGACCAGACGGCACAACTAAAAGACGGCACAACTAAAAGACGTCTGGAATCTACTGTACACCAGACGTTTTTTGCCAAATTATTTCTAAAGTAGCAAAAACAATTCTTGCTTTAGGTTTCATTGTACAATTAGTTACATTGTTGTTTTGGCCAACAAAGTTTAAATGGGTATCAATGCTTTTGCAGGGGTCTGTTGTTAAAAGTTAATTTCCAAATGATTATGGACTGGCATTTACTGGTATTTCCTCTAAACAGAAAGTGTTTCTACTTTCCTGTTGAGAATGATTGATTGGGAAAAAAAGGATGTACAAAATAACAGCAGTCTTTATCAGTACTCCACGTGCTGCTATGTCCTCTAAAACTTCTATAAAGCAGAACCAGCAAGGAGAAAGTATGTATGGCTTAATTTTCATAGAGAAATAGTCAGTGTAGCAGTAATGCCTGTTCACATTAAGCAGGCTTCACTCACAGAAGCTCAGCTCTTAGGCACATCGCTTCCCGCCCATTGGTTCCCGCCCATTGCTTCAGGATCCTCCCCACCCTCTGCCGTTTTGTGGGCTTTCATAATACCAAGCATTACTGAAATCTCCACTGTAGGGACTGGCTGTCCTCATGGTGAGTCTGCTTAATACAAACGGAAATAGGATCGCCCTGTCTCTACCATTCCCTGTACTAGAGCAGAAGAGGCTGGCCATTCATCACGGCTTCACTGGTGTCCATACCGCTCATCAACAAGAGCCAGCATGCAGGAAGAGGTCTGCCAACTCTTTATTACAGTGGCATTTTTGTGTTTCAGAGAAATGGGGATGGATGTGTACTCACTAGGTGTCAGATAGGACTGAGTTTTCTGACAGGGCTGTACGGAGTAGAACTTATTAGTTGTTTTCAAACCAGACATGATTTGGGGAATGTCATTTTGTTTTTTTTCATTGTGGAGTAGTGAGTCATTTCCAAAACTTCAGCTTAGTATGGCTACAACCAAGAAAAGTACATCTAAGAGACAGACTGAACAAAGCAGCAAATATATTATAGAAGTAGTATTTTCTTTGTAACTCTACTCCTGAAACTAAAGGGAGTCCTGTCCTTTGCACAATAACTTTTTCAGTCTAAACAAAGAAGAATGACCATGGACTTTTCCCAGCTGCACACATACACACCTCCACAGTGTGCTCCAGAGAACACCGGCTACACGTATTCTCTCAGGTGAGATCTTAGTGTTGCTCTGCGGTTCACAGGTTGTTGCATCAAATGTTCAGGTTATGGCATTAAAAGTAGTACAGCCTGTATCTTTTGTTAGTCAGGGCAGTACAGCAATTAACTCAGAATGGATGACTGTTGACTCAGAGATCCTTCTGCTGGTGTTTCAAACAGCTTTTATGAGCTTTAAAACCTTGCAAGTGAAGTTTCTGCAAGATTTTCCATCATTTGTTTCTGGTATCTTTTATTTATCGGGATTTGATAGAAATCTAATCAATTTGAATCCAAACAACATATCTGAGAGTCTCTTGCAAAATGATGCTTATGCTGCTGCATTTAGTGGCATCTTGAAGTTTATTTCTGTTGTATAAATAGAAATGGAAGGCATATTGAATCCACTATCATTCATTAGCTCGCCTTTATCATCTCATGCTTTAGATGTGGTAAGCATCTTATCAGCAAAGTTTTTGCATGTGGAGGAATGTCGTTGTCTCCAGAGCTGTTACCTTACTTCGCCAGAAGCTGTTAAACCACAGAAAGGCATTTGGGTGTGTAGGTCAGGGAGTGAGGAAATAACGCATGTATGCTGCAGTTTCTGACAATCCTTGAATTGACATGTGATTGCTTGACTTTAAAGGCATGCCCCCTCTCTCAGCCAGGTCCCAAGGGAAAGTATGCAAGTGTCTTGTAAAAATAAAATCGAGTTTCAACAAAGACCTCATCAGTTTTACTGCACTGTCTTCTAGAAAATATTGTCTGAGGAAAGTTGGGCTGAGAAAGATTGGAGCGTTGGATCCTAATTAGCATACTGCTTAAGGCATGGGGCCCTATAAGATTCTCACTGTATGATAGCATTGACTTTCATAGAAGATGAAAAATGTGCATGATCTGCTTGCTTTCATATATTAGCATATTGAAATATAGATTACAATTATGTTATCTTATACATTTTTGCAAATTACCTTTTAATCATAGACTTTGATGTCTATGCTTCATTAAAACTACAGGTTTTTTTTTTGTTAAGCATGTTTCTTGGGCATTATATCATATTTTTGCTTTTCTACTCTTAATAGAATAAAATTAATATTGGCTTGTTGGTCAAATTATTTACTTAGGTAGAGCCTGCTGTCAGCTTCTTACGACATGCTTCTAGCTTCCTATCTGTAGTTTTAAATCAATGTTACCTTAAGAAAAGTGTTGGTGTCAATGTTGATGTCAAGTTATTTATCAAGCAGTTCTAAGATTTCCAAAGTTAGACCAAATTGAAGCAAACTCTGGAACAGATTAACTTCTATTTCAAACAATAAAACAAGAAGGAGAAACGAGAAGAATTAAAATTAAACTGGAATTTAACAGACAAAGAACACAACAGATTTGCCTAAGGTTGTCAAACTCAAGTAGCAAGCGTGTTCCTTTGAATTTAGCTGTAAGGCTATAAATGAGCCTTCTGATATGGCCTTGATCCTCGGATTAGACTAATCGTTTATGCTTCTTGACGAGCTAGTTGAGGATTCTGTGGTATTCTTTTAGCTTCTGGCTGCTGAATCGGTTGGTAACAATTCTCTCCTTTCCTGAGAACTTTAGAAACAGACCTCAAATGCAGTAAGAATTTAGATTCTAGATTTAATTAATCTAGTTGCGAATGGAGTGGGTGTGCATGGTCTGCAGTGAGTATAAGAGAGCAGTGCAGCAACAGACAAGGTCAGGTGACAAAAACAGTTGGTCCATCTGTTGTCAAAACTCAAAGGAGCAGTGACAAGGTTTGTAGCACTGAATAGACCAAGTGTAGGAGGAAAAGGACTATGCTCTGTTTCTGTCCTCAGGGAGACTATTACAGCAAAGACACTCAGTTACAGACCTATAAGCAACAAGGTCAGAAAGCTTTGATAAAAATCCCAACTGTGAATTAAGAGGTAGTTACCCTAATTTCATTTAAACTCAGTAAAGCAGATGTTTGGAAGCAAGACTTGCAGGTGTTTGTTGTTTGCTGACTTCTCATAGCATGTAAAAGTGAAGTTTATTTGGCCTTTATGAAAAGTTTTAGGGCAGTTTTAAAATGCACCATGTGTGTAATCCTTGAGTTCTAGTTTAATATAATATGGAGTCAAGGATATTATTGTAGTCATTTATTGTAAGTGATGCACTGAGGATGCTCTTGCATTTGAATCTTGTCCGATATCTGGAGGTACCGAGATCTAGAAGGAAGCTCAGAGGGAACAGGGCTTTCTCTGTCGTGGGTCCTAAGTTATGGAATGACCTGCCTGTGCAGGTTAGAGAGGCCCCTTAACTGTCCACTTTTAAAGCTCATCTTAAAACCCATCTATTTTACTTGGCTTTCAACCCCAGAGAGATCTAGTTTTACATTGTATGTTTGTTTGTTTTAAACTGTAAGAGTTTTTATTTGTTTTATTTATTTTACGTACAACACTTTGTATCAGCTGTGGTTTTTTTAAAGTGCTTTATAAATAAAGTTGGTATGGTATGGTATCTGCTAATGTTGCTTTGTGGGTGATATTTAAACATTTACATTTTCGTTCCCTTTCAAAGGTGGTGAAAAAATTACAACTCTGCTGACATTGCTTTTCTACTTCAGTTAAAAGCCCAACAATCATAGACTGCATCACTATCACTGTCACATCACCAAACAGTTAACCCACTCTCTCCATAACAAAAACGGCAACAGGATGGAAATAAACATTGATCATCAGGTCAGTTTTGTGATACTGATTTTAATGCCGATATATATTGTCCCATCCAATCAATCAGTGATTAGAATCTGCCAAGCATCGTGTCCCATGATAAATTAATGCATCAAAATTGTTTTAGTCTGTAAACACATCAACAACGAGAATATGCTTCAATGCATTTTTATTTTTATTTATTTTTTTAACCACCTAACTGTCACCCCCAAAGCTCAAGAGAACACCCTTGTCCTCATGACAAGGGGTATAGCTTTGTTTTTGGTCAAATTGTAATTCTGTCGCTTTTGAATTAGTTTTGTAAAATGCAACACAAGCCCTCGTAGAACTGCTCCATTGCAAGTGAAGGCAACAATATAATGACACAAGAAAAACTGACACTTCTCAATCATTATTTGTTTCTCATTCCCTCCCACTATCACAACACAACAGCACAACTGGTTTTAAAGTGAAACTCTAAGCACACCGTTAAATTGTTGTGGGCAAGAAATGGTATTTTAATCTTAACCATAGAAGATCAAGCTGCTTGTCTTCCAGAAAAACAGACTGCACCCATGTTCCTCTGAAAACAGGTGTGTGTGCTGAGAATCCTCCCAGAGAGCCTTCATATTTTATGATTGTGAAAGTGGGTCAGTGGGGCCGGGGCGTCTGGATGGTATCTTCCTTTTTCTACCATCATTCTTGAACTGTAGTGATTGGGTTATCTAAAATCTGTTTAAAGCTGATTGCTATCAGGTGTTGCATTTAAGTGAATGATAATATATAGCGACTAAGACTAGTAAATTCAACCTTCTAGCTGTCTTTTTTTTCTTCTTGTTGTCTGTTCTTGTCTGTCGATCTGCAGCTCCATCAAACTGCATTTGAATCTATTCAGTTTCAGCAGAACTGCTGTGGTGCGCCCTATCGTTACAGTTGCTTCACGCAGGCTTCAGTGCATGCACCCCTGGTCAAGTGGCAAGCAAATGACATCAGTTGGATTCAAGGGAGATGAAGCCTTTAACCTAGATATTTTTTGTAACAGTAATTGGTCAATGATACACATTTCTGTAAGACTGACTGCTCAGTCTTAAGAATGTTGTAGCTCTTAAGCAGGTATGTTTCAGATTTGCTCCATTTATAGCTCATCCTCATTCTTAGCGGTACTCACAACTTTCTTTAACAGAAGCATGATGTTGAAGCTGCCATGTTTCTTGGGTGGTATGATGTTGATTGCTTTTGGTAAACTTCTAATAGTTTTCAGATTTTTGTTGTAGATATGTCTGTATAGTCTCCTTCCTCACAAAATGCCAGCAAAATGTATTGGAGTTTGTTTGTATTGAGACAAAATGCTCAGATGGTATGAACATTTTTGCAAACCACTGAAAGTGTGACTTGTATATTTGTGTTTCTTCCTGCTGAGGGGGATTCATCTACTGATCTGTCTTTCCGAGTTGAAGAGTAGTTTATTCTTGTCTCTATAGTAACAGCAGTAACATGTGACATTGGTTGTTGTGCTCCAGTTCGGGTGAAGGAAGGACGTTTTCTTACAGCGAGGCAGAAGGGAAGCAGTGTCAGTGGGAGGGAAAATGAGGCCCAGCCTGATTGATCCTAATCACAAAGCCAAATCCTTCCTACTCAGAGATGGTAGGGTGGAAATTTGAACACTCTCCGTTTGCCCCCAAGTTCCAATTCTTGTCCTCTAGTAAATGTAGGGCACAACATTTTGTGGTAAACTACTTTCTCTACTCAATTACAGTTCTGGAGATGGAAATGAACAGTTTTTCCCCCCTTTTTTAACCTCTATCCTGTTTTTTTTTTTTCCCCCAGGGAATTTCCTTGTTCAAATGTTTGAAAATAACTGTTATTCCAGCAAATGCAACAGGGACATGTGGTGTTGCAGTTCTGAATTACAACATCTCATCACTCTGAAATGTTCAGCATTTGGCACAGCAGTGTCAGCTTGTGTAATATCTATATAATACATTCTGAACCGAGTGACAGTCACAAATTTATTTAAAAATACAGGTTATCCTCTCAAAACTATTTACAGTTGTAATGTTTGGTTTCTTGTACACAATTTTCAATCTATGCAGTGTGACCTTTTGCAGTAGCCTGAACTGCAACATGTTTGCTTGTTTGTTTGGCAACTCCGCATTTTTAAAAATTGCCTGGAAAAAAAACCTTTCACTGTTCTGTTTACTTCTGCGTGTGAGATTTAAAACTTTTCTGGCTAGCTTTTGACTCCACTCTGTGGTTTTGCTGCTGAGCTTTACGACCCACATGGTTCTTATAATCCCAGGCTAAAATAAATGTGTGCATATCTCACAAATGATAGTCAGAGTTTGTGGGGTGAATGTACCAACTGAGCTGACTGCCTAAATCATCTTAGGTCCTTCAAGTTTCTTTTGGATAGAAGTCTATTTGTATACCAAATAAGAAAATGTATGACACGCTCATTGAATACATCCTACAGAAATCAAAACCTTCTTTTTTTCCTCAGCTAAAATAGCAGCTGCTGGGAAATCCACAACTTTGGAAAATCAAATTAAATTCTTTGGTTCTGCCCAAAAAAATCATCATCATTTATAGTACTTTGCTCTGAAATTTCTCAGAATTTAGCTCAAATGAGGATGTATTGCAAAGTACTAACTAATATTGTCAATCAGCAAAGTTATTGTTGATTGTCATATTTCATGATGATGACAACAAAACAAGAGTTTGTGAAAGGCAAAAAAATTTGATTGTACCAAGAAGAGTGTGGAAAGAGGATTTGAATCTATAATATGCAAGATAAAATTCCAGCAAGTTTGCTATCAAGATGGGAATGTTTTTTCCCTCTGCTCAGGTCTGGCTTGTTGTCTGTTCTTGTCTGTAAATTGTCTTTGTCTATCGCTATCTCTGAATCTCTGATGTGAGCTGTGAATGTTGCATAGTAGAAAAGCGACAACGTAGAGAATGAGAGCAAATGAGGAGTAAATTCGTAAGAGGTTTTGAGGAAACATGAGCCAGCTTCATAACGTTGTTTAATCTGACAGTCTTTGTTTTGAGAATCCTATAAAGATAATGTGGAGTGGTTCCATGAAAAATGAAGCACTGTTTTATATAGTTTTATATGACAAGCCAACACAAAGCTGAACAGAATTTTACTTTACAATTAAAATTTTTAGAAATGTGGGTGCACATGTGGGTGCACATGTATTTAGCCTCCCTTACTTTAATGTCCATCCGTCTATCCGTTATTTGTCCACCCTTACCCCTGGTGTAGCCTATTGCCTTCAGAAGTAAAGAAATATTGAAAATCATGAATCATTTTACTTCCACTTCACAATTATTTACTCCTTTCTGTTGGTTTATTACATAACATTTCAACTTAAATTGGTTGCAGTGTGACGAATAGTGGATATGTTCAGTGGCTGTGGATACTTTTAAAGAACAGTGTATTGTAATGTTTGCATGTGCCTGCAGGCTACACAGACAGACATATTTGTTTCCTTATCAGACAGCCCTGCTCCCAACAGTGCCTAGGACACACATGACTTGGCAAAGTTTTGTTCTTTGTACAGCAGCTGTTTTGGGTCTGAAGGACATATCCTGAAATCATGCATCGGGTGTTCTATGTCTTTAGCTGCAGAGAAGAGAGAATGGATGAAGTGTTTTATAGCAAATTTTTTCTCTGGTGCTGCCAGGAAGCAACAAAATATCAAAGATGTACAAACACAAACCTATCCATAAGAAGTTCTCCAGGCCAGCATATATCACAATAAAACTTAAAAACATAAACAAAAACAATAACTTTTGTTAGTTGGACACTGTTGTCCTGAAGAATCTACCAGACAGTTTGCAAGAATAATAATTTAGTGGTCTGACAAAAAGTATGGATGAGGTGGTACTTGACTGTAGTGAACAAGCTTTCTGCACAAATATAAAAATATGTACAGTTGGAGATTTGGAGCCCTTTTGTCTGGGTTTGTGATCTTTTAAACAGCCGTACTTACTTGCTTTTATTATTAATCCTTGGGCCAGTGTTAAGCAGCAAATAAATTCTCCACGACTCCCAGAGCTGGAAAATGGTCCTGGTCGAGTTTTGAGAGAGGTGGCAGTTGGCTGAACAGGCAGGTGGCAGACTCAAGACAAAAGCTCATAATTGGCCTGGTCAGGGTGAGTAATCCCCAAGTTTTATTCCCAGACAGGCTAGCAGAGAGACAAGATCTGTGTGGGACAAACACATATGTGCTCTTCTGCAGGACTTTAAAGCTTGATTAGTTTGCACTGGGAAGTCAGGGGCAGGATATTGTCATTCCTGTGCACACTGAGCAACTTTGTGCCCAAACCGTAAAACTGGTGGCTTTAGTGTAAACAGTGAGCCTAACTGATTGTCAGGTGCATAACTGGAAGAATACTATCTTTCATCTTTTCAAAAGCTCCTAGTAGCTTACCTCTATCAATATTAAGCCTTTTTTTTTTACTACTGCAGCAAAAAGCATTGACATTTCATCTTTACAGTAACAATGTTCTGTATTCACCAGCGAAGAGGAACTAATAACTGAGAGAATAGTTGCAGATGTTGCCTGTTAGTCATGCCTGCATTTTGGCACTAAAACTCTGTTCATTGGGGTGGGTGTGGCCCTCTGAGTCACAGTAAGGCATGGCACCGAACATTCATTGCATGTTTCCTCTTAACGTATGAAACTGCAGCAAACTGAGTTGAACTCTTTCTCCTTGCATAGTTGGGGATGTTTACTTGGTATATTTGCCTTGATTTTTGATTTTAGAAACACATCCTGATCTTTTTTCTTTTCTCTTTCCCATGTGAGTGAGTCATTTCCTGTGAGGAACAACCCAACACCCACCAGCATCGCAACTCTATAAAAAGCCTGTTTGTTTTCATTTAAGAAATCTGACACTGAGATGTTTAGGATGAGGAACTAGGAGTTAAAATGCTTTGCTGGTTGAAACCTTTCCTCTTTCAACTGTGTTTCTGAACAAAATTTGAGTTCAGTAAATATGAGAGACAAATCATTATTAAGTCTCATGTAGGGCCTCATGACTTGGGATTTTTTTGCAAACTTTCTAACACTCTTTTTCATTGTCTCTCGCTTTTGTTTTAGTTCAAGTTACTCAACTGCAGCATTAGAGTTTGAGAAGGAGCACCAGATTTCTCCTGTGTACGAATCGCCCAAGATGTTACGGCGGAGCCTCCGTCTGCAGAACAGCGGCAGTCATTACAACACCGAGAGTGTAACTGATTACTCCCTGAACCATGGCAGCAGTTACATCGACACCAGGAAAGAGACGCGGTGAGTGAACACTTTCAACCTGACTGACTAGCTGCATTGCTAAAGACTTGTGTCTTGTAGACCATGACTAAACAAGATCTTCCCAATCTCACAACCAAAGTGAAAGTATTTGAATATTTTTTTCTGTTTCTATGAAATTGAAAGTTTTGAAAACTCATACGTTAACTTAGCTTATTTTCCTTCCTCTTTTTCACATAATCATTTTACAGTAACCTGCATCCATAAATCTTGAACTTGTTCTCATTTTTAATACAAACGATGCATTAAACTTCAGTTTATTTGTCAAAATAATTGTAACTGTGTCAATGTACATTCACTTAACAGTAATAAAATACTCTATGTTGGTTTATCACACAAAATTGCCTTGAATTGTTTTTGGCTGTTTGTACATGAAAGTAAGCAATTTAGGCAGTAAAAGTGGATCACTCAATTAAATTGTTTCTTTTTTTTAAAGCTCCTGATAATTTTCTTAATGTTGGTGCTACGTAATGTTGGGGGAAGCATTGCATCCCAGCATTTATGTTTTCTGTTATAGACACTATGCTATTATGAAAAGGGAAGGAAGACACAGACTTTTAGTTACTAAGCTGAAAAAAGACTGCATATTTATAAACCGTTAGCTGGAAAAACAATAAAGTATTTGTTGGGAGAGTAAAAAAATATCAGTAAAGTATCTTTCTTATTATTATTTCTATTATTATGTTGCAGACATTGTGCACCAGTAAAATGATATGTCTTTATTAGAAATTTTTTCATTTTAACGAACATTAACATTATCCAACAAATTCTCACTTCTCCCTTACTCACACAAAATCAGCACATCATAAAAAAACATGATCAAGACAACATGGAATAAATACACATCTTTCCACAATTTTTTGTTTTAGTTTAACATTCAAGCAGAATTGAAAACTATTCTTATATCTTATATTATTCAAGTAGTAACCACACAGTCTTTTTTCTTTTCTAGGACACCACGAAATAGAAAGCAGAAGTCCACATCCAGCTCTGTGTCTTTATCCCTGAGCCAAATTGCAACACCGAGACAAAACCTGTCCTTCTCAGATGCCAGTACCCCGATTGACAGAACAAGTCATGAAAACGTCACAACATACGACGTCTCGCGGCTCGTATCAGCTCGAGAGCAGTATCACCTGAGGCAGCGCAGAGGAACCACCATCAGATCTTCAACTACTGTGGATGGACAGTGGGGTGAGACAAAAAATTATAGATTTAATCACAAAGGAATTTTGAATGCTCTCTCATTATCCCAGGAAGCTACAATTTGCAATGGAAGTCTTATTTTGAAAATCAAATTTGGTTAAATTTGCTGCCTGGCTGTCTTGTTCCAGAGCAACACTCCAGCGAGAGCTCATCAAACGTCAACGGAGAAGCCAGCTTTTCAAAATCCAACGCTTCGGTCCCTAATGGTTACATTTGCAAAGATTGCTCGTTTCACTCTCAGCAAAGTCACTCTCGTGTCACACGGTCATCATTGACTTCGCTATCATCATCACCATCCTGCCAAGCAGCAGAACTTTCCACTGATGGCCTCACCTCCGTATCTTCACCTTACACAAATATTTATACCAGAGACAGGAGTCGAAGGAACAAGTCGGGTGAGAAAATACTTTCCACATTTGGGAACTTGAATTTTTATAGTTTAAAGTCATATTGGCATAATAAGGGTTTGATGAAGAGAATGTTTAACCATTGGTGATATCTCCCTTCAGGTGTCCTGATGTCGATGTCTAACTCATGTGTGCACTACAGCAAAAAAGCCCTGTCCCCCATTGTGTCCTTAGTTTCCATTGTCTACAGCACTTTGGTCTGGCTGGGAACAAGGACCAGAAACTCAGCAGTCTGGCTGGGTACAAAGACCAGGAACTCAGCTGAAAAAGGTATTCTGAATTTTTATTGATAATTTACACATCAATACTTTATTTCCAAATCTAATCTTCTGATGTTTAACTCCATTTTTGATTCTTTCCATTCTTCCCTGTTGTTCAGTCATTCTTACATTCCTCTAAGTTTGCTGTTTGAATTTGTTTTGGGGAATTTCAGTTATTTCAATTACTATATCTTTTTTTATAATGAGGTTTATTTCTTCTACAGTTTCTTGTAAAACCCTCGTACCCTTGTAGCCCCTGCAATTTCCAAATTATCACCACAATTGTCAATGTAATTTATTAGTATTTTATGTGAAAACCAACACAAAATAGGACATCCTTGAGAAGCAAAAGCCAGATGACATGGTTTTTAAAGGTCATTACAAATACTGGTTTAAGAGTGTTACCTATATTTATCAACCCCTATTACTCCAATACTCAAAATAAAATCCATTGAAACCAATTGCCTTCAATATTCACATAATTATAGAAATGATAGAAAGAATCCCTCTCTGAGTCATTTAATCTCAGAAAGTCAGAAACTGGTCTCGGGAGTTTTTAGAGAACGTTGGTAAACAAACAACATCATGAAGATCAAAGAATGCAGACAGACTGGTCAGAGATTAAGTTTTGGAGAAGTTTAAATCAGGCTGAGGTTGTAAAATAAATTTCCAAGCTGGGAACATTTTGCAGAAAATTGTTCAATAAGTCATCTGAAAATGAAAAGAGTACCAAGCAAAAACCAGCCTGTGAAGTCTAAATTGACCGGCCGTGCAAGGAGCAGCTCAGGTTGGAGCTGATTTTGAACTCTATGCCAAACAATGTGTTTCTAGAAACCAATACTGCAACATCCCCTGAATACATAATAGTGGGACATTCTGCTGTGAGGTTGCTTTTCTTCAGGAGAGACAGGGAAAGATGTTCAGGCTGAAGTGGAAAACGGATGGAAAAAAACATAGACAAAATCTGAGAAAACTTGAGGAGGGATGAACACATTTGCATGCCTCTGATCTTGAATCAAGTTTCCATCTTGACTTACAATGGTTGTGTGGACAGGGGTGTCAATGGGTGTGTCAACAGGAGTCCAAACCTCGTACTCAGACTCCTTGACACAAGCGTGGCCCTCGAGTTTGTCCAAACTTTGGCTGTTTAAGCAGACCGCTCTCCACAGGATGATGGGCTCCAAAGATCTTGCCTTTGAAGAACAAGGTATCTGCTGTCGGTCCACTGGAGAGACACAGCTCCAGATTTCAGCTGCCTCTTTTCCTTTAATTAACTTTTTCTCCTTTCTAAGTGTCGACTATTTTCTTAATCAAAGAGTCCTCCTTCCTTAGGAGATAGAGACGCTTGCTTTCTCATAAACTAGGTGTGCCTTCGAAGAATGTCATAACTTTCCTCTCTCTGTCCTGAATTCACCCAGTTTTCACTTTCACACTTTTCTCTTTTTGAAAGGGGAACTATACTGGAATGAAATAAGTAACCATGCCATTGTTTAAAAACTCCAGACAACATGTGTTCCACTTCTTCATTTTGTTAAATGAGCTTGAGAGGAGATATGCACTTAAGTGAGCATTTAAGATGAACTTCCAAAACTCTTTAACTAAACTTTTCAGATTTGCTCTTTATAGCGTAAAACCATTCATTGCTCCAACTATTTGGCTGAGGTTTCAGTATTTAAAGTAAATGTTTTTATCCAGTATATTTCCTAATTGTATTTTTTCCACAGTGGATGATATGCATTTGCTCTGATGGTTTAGTTTAACCTCTCTCATTGCTGTTTCAACCAGGTTCTTGTGTGAATTCTCTTTATTTATTTTTTTTGTGCATGCGTAACTTCTACTTGTAATCTCGTCTTTAGGAGCTATGCTTCCTCCACATTCATACTGGTAGTTCTGGAATGGTGGTTGTCTCAACTTCATCTTCGTTTCTGCTATGATTTTTTTTTTGATTCAAACCTTTTGATGTACAATTAAATATGTTATTTGTGTGTTGCAGGCCACTCAAGTTTCTGTGGAAGTATGAATGTGAAAGACCTGGTCACTGAAGAAACATCTCATCTTAACCTCAATGGTTCCCTGTGTAAGCACACACAGCACATGTTCTCTTTACCCTTTGTTAGGGTTCCTGGTGTGCTGCTTTGATTGACGATGTCAATGATATGCGTGCCCTGTGTCAGCCTCAGTAGGCAGAGGTTGTGTGAACTGCTTTAACTACTCAGCAGCCTGTTGAACTTCGACCTGCAGAAAGTGAAGCCAAATCTTTCTAATCCACAATTTAGAGTATTTGAAAATAATTATTTTAAAGTTGATTATGCATAGTGGTTATTGATATACTTTATACTTACAAGTGGGGACAAAATGAAAAAGAAGCAGGAGAGATGTGAAACGGCTTTTCAGTTGATCTTCGTCTTGGTTAGTTTGATATTTTAAATAAGAATTCCAAATTCAAAGCAAAAAAATTGACAGAATTAATTTACAAGTAATTTTGTAAATTACTTTTTCAGATGGAAAATGTACTTCTCTATTTAGTTTACAGTTGCTCTTAAAATATGAAGGGCACTCCTTATTTTTTGAACATTAAAAATGTTTGAAAAGGCCAAAACTGACAATCTAAATGTTTACTGAAGTTTGTGGGAGGAAGAAAAAGTATTTTCTTATTCAATTAATGTCTCCTCACTACTGTGGAACTGCAAAATGGCAGAAAATAAGGTAAACACAGTAGGAAGATTTTTTTTCCCCAAAAACAAAGGCTGATTAAAAACTTTGTTATAAATTTGTTTGACCCTCAAATGTCAGGTTGAAGGTTATTTAAATAGTTTTATTTGAACTTTCATGCCAGATTTTAACTGAAGATAAAATATGTAAAAAGAATAGGGTGTGTGGGGGGACTCGGGAAATTTTAAAGCCACCAGGATAATCCGTCAGTCCCCGGGACCAGACCTGGGGTGTTATTCAAAATAATTTGACACCAAGCTAATGTGCTAAAACCAATGAAAATGTTACTTGGAGAAAGATGTCATTTAGATTTTTCTGTTTGTTTTAGTTTTCCATCAAGCTTTGCAGCACATGCCTTTGTAAAATGAGCTATAATTTGCAATAATTTTCTCAAATTTGCTTATCAGTCATATTTAATCATTGTGGAATAAATGAGTTTATTCATGCTGCTTATTGTCTTTTTGTTTGTTTGCTCATTTTTTGCATTCTGCTTGTCTGCTCTCCATCGTTTTGGACGCACACAGGTGACGACTGTAAAGGAAAGCAGTACTCTGAGTCTCGCACTGTCACCGTTGCACCACTCCCCAGGTCACAGCGCTTGGTGGGGGCGCTGTGGAGCATCCTAGCTTACACAGGTTAAAGGAAGCTTCATCATTTTTAACTGATCATTCCATTACAAAGATATTTTTTTATATTCTTGTTGTTATTTTGTAAGCTAACCTCCTTAAAAACTGTAGCTGTAGTTGTGAACATCATTCGCTTTGTTTTAACAGGTTTCTATCTGCTGCTGCCTGGTCACTGTCTGCTTGCAGCAGGTAAAGCTTTAGGTTCAAGAATTGTCACAGCAACACAAAGCCTTCTCTCATGCTTCTGGGCAATCCTAGCAGCCCCAGGTAGATTTCAGATCTTTATCATTTTTAACAAATTAGGATACTTATCCGCTTCAGGTTGAAAGTTTGAATATATTCTCTCTTTTTTTCTTCTCTAGCAAAAGCAGGAAAGGGACTGATGTGGTTTCTTGCAAGAGGATGGTACCAGCTGGTCTCTCTCATGTCTCTCGTCAACGTCTTCTTTCTGACTCGGTAAGAGTTCTTATCTTTTATGACAATGAATTAAGCACAGATATTTAATAGTTTAACAGAAATAATAAATTAAAATTAACATAGCTGCTCTGCATTCGACTGTAAGTATAATTAAGTTTTGCTCAATGTTGCAATTGCCTGATGTGTGAAAAAATGTGTTTTAATTGATATAATGTAAAAAAATTCAAGTATTAAGAAAAATTAAGTGAATTTAATTATCGCTTAATTAAAGTATTTTTTAAACAGTCACATTATTTATTTTTAATTATTTGCCTAAATGTAAAGAAATATATATTTTTTTCTCATTAAAAATATGAAATTTGAATCATTTGTAAAATTTGAAGTTTTCTTCTGTGTTTCAGATGCCTTCCCAAATTCTGGAAGCTCCTGTTGCCTCTTTTGCTCCTCTTACTACTTCTGCGTGAGTAAACAGACCATCTTTTAAACAGATTGAACCCATTTACTCTAGTCAGCACAGAGAGAATGATATATGGCTATTAGAACCAGCACAGATCTCTAGAGTCTGCTGTAAATCGAGCTGCAGATTCAGGTCAACCTTTCTGAGTCTTCACTGCAGCACAGCTGTTCTCAAGCAGTTTCTTGTTTTTCTGCTGAATCATGCTGCAATTAAAATAAAATAGTAGTTTAGTTTTATATAGTTTAGTTTTAACACTAATTTGATCCTCCTAAAGGGTTCAAAAACGTATATTCTTTCTGTTTAATATGTAACCAAATAGCTTGCATTATTGTAAAAGAGTATTTCCTCTTGAGTTACTTTTAACCTCATACTCTTTTTGTTCTCCTGCAGTTTTATGGTGGTGCCTCCCGTTCATCGGTGCCCTGCTTACCTACCTTCCAGCCATAAACCTCACAGAGTGGAGCTCTAAATCTAGGTTTGATTTCTTCTCTAACTTGGCCGCTGTTCCCGCTGCTGTCCCTGCAACAGAGACTCCCATGGAGCAGGCTCATAACACTCCGGTCTCCCAAGCAACAGTGAGTAGCACTATCTTATAGACCAGTTTTTCACAAAGTGTGTTTACCCTATAAACTTCCTCACAACCACAAGATTTCGTTAATGATTGGACCATCAGACATTAGCAGATAATTAAAAAGTAGAGACAAAAACATACACTGTTGACTTTGAGCCAGACTTTAGAGTATATAAATATAATAATTTCCTCTGTCTTCTTTCTCAGCCAATCCTTCCCCCAGCCGCCATCCACAGTGGCATGGATCTGGACCGTCTCGAACATGTTGAGCGACAGCTGGCCTTGTTGTGGGAGAAAGTTCAGGAAGGAGACCAGAGGCAGGATCAGCGTCACAGCAATCTTTTCGGTCTCTACAGCTCGCTGAGAGAGCAGGTCCACAGTCAGAACGAAAGGGAGCGCTTCGAAGTGTGGGTGTCCTCTATGATGGAGCAGCGACTGGGTGTGCTACGAGGAGAACTGCAGCGTGAGAACTTAAACATAGCACATGTAAGCCTGTCACAATTAAGCATTTAATCGCTTAGTACATTAGAATTAGCTCAGTTTCCATCCTGATGATTATTATTTGAACAATAATAACCCATTTTTAATGGTTTTGGATGCAAGTGGTTTTTATTTCCATTATTTTATTTATTTATTTCAACAGTCCTGACATTGTAATGTGTAAAATTATGAGAGCGTATGAAAGTGAAGATTCGATTTCTTTCTTTTGTAGAGTTCAGAGCAGCAAAAACAGCAACAGGAAAGTCAGGCAGCACGTCTGGCTAATTTAGAGTTTCTGCTCAGAGCTTTGACAACCAAGACTGAGGTATGCACAGCAGATTTCCTGCAATTCCACAAATGAACACAGTGGATCGAGATTCCTTAAGATTGAGCAAAAACAACAAACTTTACGATGCGAATGAGTGGTCCAAATTAAAGTGTTCATGTTTGTATTGTAGGAAATGCAGCAGAAGCAACGGCAGTTTGAGGATGAGGCGAAGCAACGGGAGAAAGCGGCTTCTAAATCGGCTGCCGACACAGCTCCTGTCAGGTACTAGGGAGAAATGATTAAACATGCTAACTGACATGAGAACATCTTATTTCTTATACTACATAGACCAATATGCTGTAAAACATGAAGTTTTCGTCCTTTTTTTTTTTTTAGTGTGGGTGTGAAGCAGGAGGACCATAATGCTCTATTGCTGGAGATGCAGAGACTTGAGGCAGAGCTGAGTAAAATCAGGGGAGACTTGCAGGGCTTTGCAGGATGTAAGGGCAAATGCGAGCAGCTGAACACTCTGCAGCAGACTGTGAGCAGTATAAACGTCCTAGTCACTCAGCAATGCTCCTTAAATGATCTAAACTTTATCGAGTTCAAATATTTCCTTCTTTTTTTACTTTATATTCCTTCCCCTTTAGATATCTAGTCAAGTGTCCTCGCAGTTGCGGAAGGAGTTGAAAAATCTGTTCTTCGGCAGCGATGAATCAGCGGACCAGCAGCAGGGTGAGATCCCTGAGTCGCTGATCCAATGGCTGTCGCAGCGTTACGTGAGCACACCCGACCTGCAGGCGGCGCTGGCCTCCATCGAGATGAGCATTCTGAAAAACATTTCGCTTCAGCTGGAGCACAGTCGAGCCCAGGTTCTGGGCGAGGCAGAGTCCAGAGCCAGCAGCCTCTTTGAGACCGTAAGAGGGACGGTCCAGCACACTTCTACAACTGAGGGGCTATCTGAAGAAGTAATGCACAAAACTTTCTATTTAAGATTCTCATCTTTACCATGTAATTTAGTAGCTTGTCTCACATGATTTTGTTTTTCCTTGTTTCTTGAAAATGAGGACGTGAATCTGATTGTTCAAAACGCACTGAAGCTCTACTCTCAGGACCGGACGGGTCAGGTGGACTACGCCCTGGAGTCTGGAGGTAAGTAGGAAACCTGTCCACCCTGAGCTTGTGTCCAGACCAGTAGATAACTCTGTTGTGGTTTAAGAAGATTAGCAGTCTAGCACTTCTATCGCTCTGTAATGCATGTCTTGCGCAATGAGGACTAAGGCATTAGCAGCATCGAGGTCTGCAGGGTATTTAAAAGTTGTGAAGCTACATGCCTCTAACAGTCATAGTTGGGCTGGGTGCTGGAACATTGCTGTTTTGTTTTTCCATCCATTTGTCCATTTTGTACAATCAATTATCGACGCACATATGGGGCAATGTAGAGAAAACTATTGATTTAACTTGATCTGAAACTGAAATCAGTCTTCCTTTTTGTTCCTCATATTTTCTGTCTTTAGAAACGAACAAAAAAACTTTGGCGTGTAGATTTAATGAATAAACTCTTGTTGTATTACTTTAGTTGTAGCAACTAAACCTGCCTTCATCTGATGTTAACACTTATTCTCAGGCAGCACAATGCTTTGCAAAAGTTTTTTTTGTTTATCCTTTTCATATGTTATAACAACAAACCAGAATGTCTCATTTCCAGCTAGAAGATAAAGTCAGAATGTTGGATTTATTTTAAGGTGGCTTCTTGTAGTTTTTGTTTCTTTCTGTCATGATTTTTACACATAAAATTAATTAATTTTTAGTGATTAAATTGATAAAAAGTAGAGAATTTGCCAAATTCTCTATTAATTAGAAAATTTACTCATGAGTCTAGAATAGATTTATGCTGATTTAAGAGATCAGCATAAATTTAGCTGAATGCCTTAGATGTTCATGAAGAACAAGAACTCAGTAGACAGTTCAGGGATAAAGTGTTGGAGGAGTTCAAAGTAGGGTTAGGTTATAAAACCATATTTTGTCTGATCCCTGGACGGTACTTGTATGTATTTGGGTATGAATATAGTTTCTGTTTTATCAGGTGGTAGCATCCTTAGCACACGCTGCTCCGAGACTTATGAGACAAAGACAGCCCTCATGAGTCTATTTGGCCTTCCGCTCTGGTACTTCTCCCAGTCTCCACGTGTTGTGATCCAGGTGAGTCCCACCATCAGATATCCAGAGGAACTAAATCTGATAACCATGGAAAAACAAAAGCGTGTATTAAAAACAACATTTAACTGTTAAACTGCTGACTTTTGACTTTAAAAATAATACTGTGCTCCTCCTTTCCATCAGCCGGATGTGTATCCTGGCAACTGCTGGGCATTTAAAGGCTCTCAAGGTTATCTGGTGATCAGGCTTTCCCTGAGGATTCGTCCAACATCCTTCTGTGTGGAGCACATCCCTAAGACGCTCTCTCCAACAGGAAACATCGCCAGTGCTCCTCGCAACTTCACTGTCTTTGTAAGAAAACTGACCCAAAAACCTAAGAGGCTTGGGAATAATCAAATAGAAACACCAAGTGTCCTCTTCTGACTTGTCTTTGATTTTTATTTATTTTTTCCTTTTTAGGGTCTCGATGATGAGTACCAAGAAGAGGGAACGCTGCTGGGGCACTACACATACGAGGAAGATGGCGAGTCTTTGCAGATCTTCCCCGTTAAGGTAACTTTAAAACTGTAAAAAAAAAATGAGCCCGTCGGTTGTGGAGAAAATAAATCAATAAAAATTTCTTTTCTGGTGTCCAGGAGAAAAACGACAAGGCGTTCCAGATCATAGAGGTGCGGGTTCTATCTAACTGGGGTCATCCAGAATACACCTGCTTATATCGCTTCAGGGTCCATGGAGAACCGCTTTCCGAATGAAGCAACCACCCAAAGACACACTAATAAATCATCATTTTACTCTGTCTGTAAATAACTCTCACCAGCTTCTTTAAAACGAAGGACACCTGACAGTGGGGACAGTTTGGTATGAAAGCCATGCAAACAGAGAGGTTGTGGAGTGTGAAAGCAATGTGCCGAGTTGGAAGCAGGAAAGTATGTGTATGAAATCCTGGAAGAGTCACTGGGAAGTTTTGTATCTGGACTGTAAAGGAACGCAGAGAGGAGTGGAACCACGAAAGAAGCTAAAAGTCCCCTTTTCATTGCACTGAGTTGCTCTTGAGGGTAGCGAGGCTTCCCTGAGCAGGCAAATCCATCCCCACCTCCACAGGAAGGTGGATGCCTTTACTAGGGCGGGGATGACAGACTCATCTCAACCACATTTTCAATCTGCATCTGACTTATTTTAGTTCTTTTCTCTTTTGTAATCTTTAATAGAATCTGCTGATTTTAGGAACAAGACCACTCTGTCTTTGCCAGGTATGTCACTCCTTTAGTTGCAGCAGCTAAACCGAGAAGTCCACAGATGGGTTCCGAATGCTTTCCCATAGCCATAAGACTTGTTTTTAAAGAACTGAACATGCTGCCTGTGAACAAGTTCTGAATGTTTGATTAAGTGCAGGCTCAACGCAAGTTTCCTTTAATCATACAGCAATGCTATAAAACACTGACCTCTATGCGATGCAACCCTTAGGAGGCTCCTTACTACACTAAATGTAGGAAATCATGCCAGCATGTGGCTCCTTCTCTGAAACATACATTGACTATACATCCATCATGTACAATGCCTTGCAAAAGCATTATTTTATTTATTTATTTTCTTACGTTTTATCACATTACAACCACAAACTCCAGTGAGATTTTTGGGGGAAGATTTTAACTGATAGATCCAGACATGGTGAAGTAGGAAAAAAGATACCTAGTCTTCACATTTTTACAAATAAAACTCCAAAAGTAAAGTGTTCATTTGCATTTGAAGCTCTGATGTTGGACCACCTTTTGCTGCAGTTACCACTGCAAGTTCTCTGAGAGTACTTTTCTACCAGCTTTGCACATTTATAGACTAAATCCTTTTCAAAACACCTCAAGGTCAGTCAGATTTTAAGAAAAGCATCTGTGAATATCAATCTTCAAGTTTAGTGACAGATTGGGGTTGAACTTTTCACAGCCTCTAATTGTTTTTTTTTTTTTCACGCTTACTCTGTTGAACTCAATCCTACTTTGCAGTTGTCTTGTTCCTGCTGAAGAAAGGAGCTGCCACCACCAGATTTTACCGTGGTAACTGTGTTCATGATGCTCTGCAGTGCTAGTTTTGTGTCAGACAGAATTTTCCTGTAGGCCAAAAAATTCGGCTTCGGTTTGGCTAGTGGGAAATTCCTCAATGATTTCTTTCACCAGTGGTTTTATCTGGTCTCTCTTCTCTAGAATAGTTTTAGTTTAATCAGTGGCTACCTGGTGCTCCTCCACAGTTAGCATGGACCTCTTTGCTGCTTTTCTGTGTTCATGCTGTTCTTGCTTGCCTTATTGGTTTAGATGAATGACCATTTCTTAATACACACCTGTGTTTAAGATTCTCCACAACTTCATCTCTGACCTCTCTATGGGGTTCTAGGTCATGAAGTTTATGTCTAACGTCTGGCACCTTGACAGTTGGATATAAAGTATATTGATATTACACTATGTTGAATTGTTTTTCCTAGTAAGATATCATCTGAAAGGAGTTTGTTGCACAGGATTTTTTGTTGGATGAATCAAAGTAAAGAAAGTTAAATACAAGTAATTTCAGGATTTTTTTTGTGATTGGGGTGACGATTCATTCTCCAGCACGTTGGACTTAAACACAACCAGAGTTACAGTGGAAAGGGTTAGGTCAGCACTCTTCATGTTTTTAATATCTCCCTGGCTCAACACACTTGGATCAAATGCATCTGTGGATGACATGCTGAAGAAGTCATTCAGCCTTTTGTGTGTTGAAGCAGGGACACTTCTAAAACTTCTGCGTTGCCAGCTCTTGAGAATTGGCTTTTGACGCCTCAGGTTAGGCAGAAATATATTTGTGTTAGAACAACCCAGTAAAGGTTCAGACCTAAATCCAGTTGAGAATCTAGCAATAATTGAAAAGCAATGTTTACAGACACTCTTTCCAATCTCACAGAACTTGAGCTGTTTTGTAAAAAAGAAAATAAAAATTGGCAAACATTTGTGAATAGATGTGCAAAGCCTAGACCCATACTCTAAAACCATCACAGGAAAAGGCAACTACAAAATCGTGTCTCCTTGGTTGAATACATATACAGATCACAGTGCTACACATTTATTTGTAAAACATTTGGAAGTCATGGTGTTGGTAAATCACAAAAATCCACTGAGGTTTGTGGTTATAAGATGACAGAATGTTAAGTTTGAGGAACATGAAAACTTTTATTTGGCACTGTATATGAAAGTGTTGTTAAATCTGGCGTCTGGAGCTCAGATCCTAACCAGAATTGTGAGATCATGTTGACTATAGATTGGTTTTTATCTTTTTCTCTCTCACCCTTTACTTGATCTAAATGTCCTTTTTCACATGGGCTCTTAGAACTCTAAAACCCTGAAGGAATGTAATTTGTATATTTCATTGTTTATAGTTGGTCTTTTTATTATGCCTACTTTTATCAGTGTTGCTTTATTAAGACCAAGCCAGTCATAATTATTATCATGTTGCTATTTTTAAAATTTCTCATTGTGTTTGCTTTCTTTTTGTTTTAATTTGGGGAATTATTCACAACACAGGATGCACTGCAACAACTTGATAGACAAAGGTTTGTGGCACGCGGTGTTTTTGTTAAAAATGGGGCTATGTAAAGAGTTGTGGGTTGGGTATGTCAAAAATACTATTTGTAAAAACGTTTTGCTCACAATCTTATTTATTAACAAGTTATTAGTGGCTGCAAATTATGAGTTTTGGCAGTGTATATTTTATTAAAAGTTGTTCAGTGCATTTTGGAAATCTTTTTTTTTTTTAAAGATAAATGGCTATTTTTGTTTAGTCATGAGATGACTTAATTGCTTTGGAATATATTCCAATAAAGACTTTAATTTTGATCTTTTATACCATTCACGTGTTACTTGATTTTATAAGCATGATTGTGTTGTTGGGTAATACTCATTAAGGGATTTGAATTCTCCAGAAGAAATTTTCTGGATTCTATATTAGATTTGAATGATTGTAGCTCAAAACCAAAGTTCTGGCAGGTTCATTTGTCTATCACCATTCATGTATAAAGAGTGTGTTTTACAGGACATTAAAAAAAAAAAAAAAGATAGGAAGAAATCAAGCCTACGCATATAAAATGTTAAAAAGTTGTAAAGCTGTAGATACTGGGAACTTATGACATTTGAATAGCTCATTTATTTTCAGTTGACTTAGTAAATTTGAGTTTGAATTTGAAAAATATTCATTGGAAAAATCTTTTATGTAGCAGGGGGGAAAATGCACAAAAAATATTTATTAAGAATTTACTCCAGAAGGAATTATGTATTAGGCATTATTTAGACAGAAATGACTGGCTGACAAAATGACAAATTGATCAAGAGAAATGGTATGAAATGTATTAAAACAGTGACGTACTTTCTAAAAAGCAAAAGCTCTGGTAGCAGAATATACACTGTCATCATAGTAAAAAAAGAAAAGAAAAAAAGTGAGCATGTATTTTCGTGATCAACTGGATTCTATTTCAACGTCCTATACATTTTTTTATGAATGGCAATGTGTCTCCATCTTGTGGTACATGGCCAGAATAGCTAAAGTGTGTCTTTTTCATTTTTATTTATTTATTTATTAGTTTTCATTCACTTGGTAGTTTGTATAAAAAGTGTGGAGTACTAAAATGCCCTTTGCGAATTTTATTATTTTATGTCGTGAATAATTTAAAAATCCGAGGAGCATTTCCGTCACTTCCGCATCCAAGTTCGTAATTTGGACCACGAAGCAGCTGCTATGTGGACGGACGGATGCTAAGCTACATTTTGAAGCTACAACCTGTATGAGAAATGATGCTAAATACCTCAAGCTACAACCTGTATGAGAAATGATGCTAAATACCTCAAGCTAGCTCCGATTGACAATGATGTTTACATCGGAAGTCGACTTCTACGCACTTCCCTAGCAACAGCACTCCTTGACAACAGCTAATGAACACAAGCTAAAGAATGGAGCACACAGATGCTAAATTGTCATTGTGGGAACAAGTTTGCCAAGGTAAGATGAATGTGCCTATATAAGTCTGAGTTTAATGTAAATAAAATGAATTGCTTGTGTGTATTTTAAGAGTTTGAAGCTGAGCAGCCCAGTCCTCCTAAACAGAAGCTGAAGGTGAGCTTTTAGTGCCTTGAAAAGGTAATCACACAGTTCAAGTTTCTTGGGATTTCATATAGCAAACCAACACAACTGGTTTTCAAAGGCCACAAATACAATTCTGAAAAGTGTGACCGCTTAATTTACTCTAAGGGGAACCAATTTGCCCTTTAGTAGTAAATACACTTGTTAGGAGTACAAATTATATGACTAGTTTGAAAAGATAAAGTCTGAGACTTTAATATGAGAAAGTTTGGGAAAAATCGCTTAAAGGGATTGAATTTGTTTACAATGTGCTTGATGAACATATCCTTTCTGCTTTAAGATTGTTTAGAGTAATTATGGCTTTATTAGACATCAGTGGATGATGCTCATCCGGAACCTCTCGCTGGTACTGGTGACTTGAAAGCTGTTCCTCATCGGAAGCATGCTGAGACAGCCGAAACGACACCATCTCCACAGAATAATGAACGTAAGATTTACTGCCTGCCTGAAATATTCTTCCATTCCTGATCTGTATTTGCAAAGACTAACAGCCATGTGTTTCAGGGCCAGTCAAGCGGTTCTTGGAGAAAATAGTGTTCCCTGTGTTATTACCCGGTCTTGAAGCTTTGCTGAGCGAAGCCCAGAAAGCTCACTGTTTTGAGGTCTGCATTTCTTCTGATAAACATCACGCTAAATATTTAAACACATTTAAAAAATGTTATGTTTAATTTGACCCAAAAGTGCATTTATTGTTTACTGCCACGGCTATGACGACAACCAATAAAAGTGTTTTTCACAGCTTTCAAAAAGTATTTGGACAGAGCAGAGTCTGCAGAACTTGACACTATTGAGAGTGATTTGAATATTGTGGAGACAACATTCTGCAACTTATATCATCAGTGAAATAAATATCGCAGAATCTTTTATCTTATAAAACACCCAGCAGCATATCTCATGACTTTAAAATATTTTTTTAGATGATAGGGTTTGTATCAAACCGGTATGTTTTACTTTTAAGTCTACTTTTTCTTCACAGAGATTATAATTATTCAAAAAATTGTTTTTGTTATTCCAGAGAAAAATGACCAAATTTCTCCCTTGTGACTTCCTAACTGAGTGGCTCTACAAGTAAGAGCCCTCCCCACAATCCTGCACTCATATATTTATACGACACTGCATTCCTAAGCCAAATAACTTTCTGAGCTCATGCTATGTCTTATTTGTTCTCAGTCATAACCCCCAGAGGCAGGGACAGGATCCAGTGAACTTTTTTGACATTCCCTTTGTCAGTGACTGGCTGAAGGAGCAGTAAGTATCTTACATAATGCAAACATTCACATATACATATTTGGGATAGTGTTAGCTCTGGAAATACTTGGACAGTTTTTGCCTTTTTGTCATCACTGCCCATCACTCCTTTGAGGGTCTTACCACCTTTCACTGAGATGTGAACTCAAAAACCTTTAAACTTGCTCTTTCATGTTGTGCATATTTAATCAGGTAAGATGGATATTAGTCAAAAAGAGTAGTGTGTTTCAATCTTGTAAACATGGTTACATTTCTTCTTGCAATGCCTATGATTTAATTTCTGATGTGTTAATATCATATCCTACAATATTCTCTTCTTCATTTTTCTTGTCTTGTATTTGTCCAGTCCTAGGCCTCCCATACCTTTGTTTCTACTGCTCAGTGAGGAGGAGGCTGCCCTGATTGTCCAGTCTTTCTGGAGAGGATATAAGGTGCATCACACCATCTTAATGAAGCATTTAAATATTTTTTTCCAACATTAAATGGCTGTACAACAAAGAATTCTATTTTTTTAAAGCAAGAATTGAGTGCAAAAGTTTGAATATTTTTGTATCCTTATTGTTTATCAACACAAGCTAACATTATATACATACACCTACACTAACATTTACATAAATCTCCCTACGATGGACCTTCACATGATTTTTGTGGCCATTATCAAATATCTCGCATAAGTCTGCATGAACATTTGATCACTCTTGTGGGAAGAAACGGCAACATTCATTTAAATTGGTTGGTTTCATCACCCACATCCTGCTTCAGAGGATAGTCACATTTTATGAAGGCTGATACATATTCTTTTCTCCTGGAATGCTTTATTGTTTGATTAAGCCAAATATGTTCTCTATTCTGATGTGCACATAATTTAACTATTGTGTAATTAGTCCAAAGAACATTATTGCAGAAGTCCTGGTGTCAATTCTCACCAGCAAAGTCTAGTCTGGTCTTCATGATTTTCTTAAAGCACTAAGCGGTTGTCTCCTTGCACACTGCCCATAAAAGTAAAATTTATGCAGTTTTTCTCATAGTACAGGCAGTTCTGACCAAAACTCAAACAAATAAAAGTCAATTCGTCTATCTACACAGATGTCAACCAAAGGGAATCTCCAGAAATCAATTTTTAAAATGAACTTGCAACAGAATCCAGTCATTTTGCTGCTGTTTAATGGTCAACTCACTTACTGTAAGTTGACCATTGACAGTTGGTCAATGCATATGGCCCAAAAGTGCATACAAAGGTTCATTTTATAACAGAAAAGGAACAGCTTAGTCAGTCCACAAGACTGCAGTGACCCTGTGTGTGTGGTCATGTTAGAATATAATAGACCTGCCTGTGGGAAAATTAGCCCACAACCATAATCTTGTTGTATAATCCAATTTCGCTGTAAAAACCTTCTCTTACACTGGGGCCTGTAGTTTCATTCAGCGGCGTGGTTATGTCATCGGTGATGCCAGCCTTTAATTCCCTCCTGTGTGGGTGCTGCGATGCCATGATATAAATAGTCAGATGCAGCCAGAGGCAAACAGCAGCAGTTTCGTCACTCTCAGACAAAAGATAAACACAATGTTCTGTGGTGTGAGGCCAAGTAAAAGGGTTGTGTTCTGTTTGTCTCAACTGTCATGTCATCTGCAGTTGCTTTTAAATAAATCAGCAAACCGATCCAAACATGTAGCTGAATTTATGGGTGTGTGCCTTAAAAGCTTTGCTGGAAGTGCAGATGCAATTTTTCTGTTCTGGATGCTTCTTACCGCCAGCAGGGGGAGACACTGTTCTCCTTTTCAGCGGTGTTCATCTCTGGCAACAGTGAGTGTGTTTACCCTGAATTAGGAGACTGTTCAGAAAGGCCACTGATGGCACTGCAGACCGTCAGCCCCAGAGATCTTGAGGCAGAGCCACATAACAAAGAGAGAAACTGAGTTGATAGGGGGAGAGCGGGAAGGATTAAGTGAAAAGATGAAGCTATGTTTGGAAAATTCTGGGGTGGGTAACAAAGGGGAGGAAAGAAGGCATGCTGATGTTGCAGAGTAGTGTCAGATTAGAGACTGAAGCTCGATGGAAGGAAATGCAGCTTTGTCAGCAGAGATCAAGGATTAAAAATGCGGTACAGTCAGTGTCGGAAGTTAGAGATTGGGGTTTTGACAGACGCAAGATCACAACTTATTAAACACTCGCAGGATGGGGATATTTTGGGCTTGCAGAATACTGACAGAGGCTGTGGTGTATCATCACCGGAGTTGATGTATAAAGTAATTTGTGAAGTTGTGCAAGTCCTGCAGAACCTTTATGATTTATGGCCACCCAGACATAAATCGTATATATTTACATGTAATATATGTTTACTAAAATCAGTATTTGTATGAGATTTTCAAGTAATGGCAAGTAGTTTTTGAATTTCTAAAAAATCCTTGTCTGATGTTGAGATTTTCCTCCGGTGTATATGATCAAGCCCCCCAAACTGATCCCTACATTTGTTCCCCCTCAGTCTCACGCTCAAAACTGTTATATAACCCGCCTGACGCAGCACTGACTCCCTGTGTCTATCTGTGCTTGTCGACATGGATTTGTGCGAGTATGCGTGTTCTGGTTAAGAAACACAGACTGGCCAAAAGCGCAGGAAGCAGAGACCAAGAGTATTTTTGCAGAGCTAAATTTTCATCCCATCACAATTAATCTTTCTCATCGCAATTCTGCAAACTGTAGTAGAGAGGCAGTGAAGCTGGCATTTACACACCCACACACACGCACGCACGCAAAAACTCCCGTCAATGACCTAGACAATGACACTGTCTCATTTCTCCTGCATATACAAGGCCTTCCAAAAGCATTCATACGCCTTGAACATTTTCACATAATGTCACATGACAGACAAATCAAGGATTTTATATGATGGACTGACACAAATTATTTAGTATTTCAGGTATTTACATCATTCAGAATACAGTCATCCTTCACAGTAAATCATGGAAATGGCAGTGTTATGTTACGGGGTGCCGTTCTTCAACTGAGACCAAAGAGCAAGTAGGAGATGAATGGAAAGCAATTACAACAAAGAAACTAGTCTTTGTTGTAGGCATTAAAACACAACTCATATGTGCTTTGACGTTGTTCAAAGCATATATGTGTGTCTTAATGGCCCAGTCAAAGTCCGGGCCATCAAAATTTAGGTCTGTAAATATCTCAAGTTGATTTTAAACATAAACCTGATGACCTGCACCTGGAATTATAGTGAAAGGTTCTGTAAAGTTATATTTTAAAAAAAAAAAAAAAGCACTCCACACTTTTCAGATTATTGGTTTAAAAAGAAATTCTAATTGTAATTTTTCTTTGACCACCCAGTTATGTGGTGGATAATCACAAAACATATCAATAAGACACAGTGAAGTTAGTTGCTGTAATGAGACATATGTGAAAATGTTTATGAGGTATGAGCACAATAACCAGGAAGAGCCGTAAGACCATAACATGTTGCATAATCTTCTTTAAACTACGTGCCTTAGCCCGGACATAATCCATTCATCCATGCCTGCTGCTGTAACACACATGTACTCTTGCACACACAGACACTTTTTATGATCACTAAGACTTATTAGGATTACTCGAATGTGGTGAGCTGAGTTGGAGCAGTGTAGCTGTTGTATAATAAACTACAGTTAGCTTGTTGATACTATAAAGTTGTGTTCATGTGTTTCAGAGGTCTTTTTCCACTGTTTCCATGTCATGTTTATTACGATTTATTTAGCATGCACACACTCTACTATTAATCACCTGACTTTGGTGACTTATGCTAAGAGGTTTATTTTCTCTATAGACTACTGCTGCACATTAGTATCAGAGGAATTTATTGGTACTCTTCAAACATAAACATAAAAACACCCTAAAAAGTAAACAACTTATACAAATGTGTGTATAAAATAACTTGAAACAAAGACAAATTTTAATCCTATTCCTTGCTGTTTATTATGCACTAGGTAGGTTCATTAAACACAACACAGTGTGTGATATTTTTAGAACTTTCCCTGGAATAAATCTAGAAAATCTAGCATTATAAATTATGTTTTAACCCCAAAAATTGCAAACAGGACCAATATCTATTACTAAGAAAGTAATGGTTAGATTCAATTAAGCAATTCATGGACTTCTCATTCCTGCTTAATCCACTAGGAGTCATGGGCTCCCTAGTTTAAAAGGGCTATCATTAAAGAATGCTGAGGCTTTTTCAACTGTAAACTCAAAAACCGGGTCACTATTTTCAGTGTGATGTTTGGTTAGAAATACCCCGCCTCTTCACCAACAGTTTTAAATATTTCATGGTATATTTCCAAAATATAAATATGGACAAAAAGACTGAAATCCTTAAAATAATGTTTTGTACCAGCATCTTATCAAGCTATCTTCACTTCAAAATGAGATGTTTGCTTTTGCCCAAAGGCATTGATAGAGAGATAAATCCTTCTATAACCCCAAAATGCATTTTTTTAGAAATGAGAAAAATTATCAAAACAGGTTTTCCCACTGTACATTCATTGCTAAATCTTGCAGCAACACAGAAAGAAATCCACATTTTTTTCCTGTTTAGAATCTTTGGTTTTATGTATTTTTATGTTTTCATTTTAATAGTTTAACATTGTTGAATTTTTAGGCCTGGTTTAGAATGGAAAAAGAAATGGGGCACTCTTTGTGCTGAGTAATATTTCATTTGACATGACCTGATATTGATGGTTTGACATATTAACACCCACTCTGCCCAGAGAATCTCTGCCAGACAGCAGTGTAGTCGATCAGAGAATTAGGTCTGGGATTCCAGCTCAACGGTCTAAGAGCAGCCATAGCTGAAAGGTCTGAGCTGAGCTTCTGCATTAGGTCAGTTGACTGACCACGTGCAGCGACACTCATGCAGAAAAAATGTCACAGGCACTCAGTCCATTAAATAGCCATTCTGTCTGCTTCTGCTTACTGCCCACTTACTAACTTATATCAAAGGTCCTTTCAAGGCATCGTTTAAATGATATGGGATTTTTATGCACAATATGGTCCATGGAAAAAAGAGAATTTCTGTCAGTCTTTTAAAAAAAAGAACAGTGGGAATGTATTGGAGCCACTAAATATTTTCAAGTCTGCAGAGGCACATATCAGACTGCAGGTCACTGGGCTGGTTGAACTCTGACGGAAGCATCGGGCAACAAATAGAACATGGATGGGTGGATGAGGTGTGAAGGGGAAGAGCAGATTTGTGGATGACTCTGTGTGACTTGTCTATGTTAGTGATAGTACTGCAGTAAACACAGACCTTAGTGCTGCTGCAGAATGATTAACTTAGTTAGCAAGGGACAGCAGCCTGAGAGGCTATGCAGCAGAGCTGAAGCATGTGTGTTAGAAGGAGTGTGTACATTGTTTGTTGGAGTTATGCAACTTGTGGGAGTGTGGTTTATCTAGGGCTTCTTCTTGTGCTGACACTGCTGTGATTTTTATGAAGATATATGTGGGACTTGAGTTGGCGGCTGTCTTCATGCAGTATTTTCTTCTTCTTTTTCAGTTCAGTGGTGTGTGTCGATGCTCGTGTTAGCATTTTACATCTGAAGTAATGCATGTGGAAGGCTAAGGCCTCACAGTGTCCTGGCGATTTTTCTAATCACTTTAATCCATGCCTCTGTGCATTGTACACAACATGAGAGGAGTGACTCACAGGCACTGAACTAAACTTGGCCATGTGTGCAGTGACACGATTGATCACAACAGCAGCATACTGTGTCCGCAAACAGTCATAAACGATTCCAACTTGGATGACATCAGAAAAAATATCAATTTCCAAAGCCGTAACCTGAGATCAGGTGCTATTGTCAGAGACTGCATTATAGTACACAGAAAGATTACTTGTTTCAGAAAAACTATGAAAAAGTTGATGTAAGAATTTTCTATAAGCTGTACATCTTGTCATATTCCATATTCATTCTTCCATCCATAAATAACAGACTTCTCTGTCCATACTGTCTCTGGTTTGTGGATTTTATATTTCAAACCATATGACAGTAAAGTTATCCACCATAAATTCATCCTGAAGTATTATATTCTTTTTTTAAAATGTTTTTCAGAAATGACCAAGTGCTTTGATACTGGGAAAGAGATGAATTTTTGACATAAAAAATGTGCCAGAACTTTGTTGTTCTTTTGTTTTTGTTTTTTTCCACTTATCCTCCCAAACAGCACTTATCACCACTATTCAAGCTGGTCTCATTCACACAGACGGGATATGAAATCCTCTCAGTCAGCTCAGCTTCTTTCATCTGTCGGTCATAGACACACTTAAAACATTCTGCATTTTAAACGTGTGACCTATTTCTACGGAGTTGTTTCTATTTAATAGTTTTTTCTATTTAGAAGCAGATTACGGCAGCAGAAGCACAATATAAGGTATAAGATTTATGGAGGGAGCCAGAGAAAATTGACATTCAGTCTCACACACAGAGAAAACAAGCAATGGTGAGCAAACACAAGCGGCTCCAACCCCCCACATGTCCTGACCCTCGCCCCTGATTTCCATTTCTATGGTTTGCTCCCATCAGGACTGGGGCTGCTGCGACACCATGACACCCATTGAATTAACTGTTGGAGCTCACTGGTTTGGTTGGTTTTACCAATTCGTCAGCCTCGCGGCCAGCCTTATATAACAGGGCAACTTTTATACTCCTGAGTATGAACACTATTGTAGCCTCACAACCAGACACTCAAGAGAATGTTGAGGTTCACTGGAAGCAGAGGGTAAAACGATGGGCGAGAGGAGACGTGGAGAATGCAAAACAGAGAGGACAGAGGTGGACAGAGAGGGATGAAACATTGATGTGGGGAGAATCTCAAGAGGGTCTGAGGTGTTGTTATATGAGCCACTGAGGAGCTGAAGGGGAGTAGAGGCAGAGAGGAAAATCTTTCTGAGTGAAAAAAAGATAAAACCTTTTTAGTGGGAGAGGAATAGGCAAGTGAGCCCTGCAGGGACATTTCCTTTTCATCCTAAACAGCAAACATTCAGTCAATCTCTCAGCAGCCCACACACAAACACAAAACAACTACAGGGGTTTCCTCCAAGAACAACAGCATGAGTCATGTCAACAACAACTTAAAGTCGGAGATGCATCAAAAGCCAGCTTGTTGACAATTAGGCTGTGTGAATTTCACCCATTTAGCCAGCCACACAATTCAGACACAATCATACTCAGACATGGGCCTTAACAGTGACTCATAAAATGACTAACTGCTCTGTGAAGCTATAGTTATTTTTATCTGTTTTAGAATATAGGTGACAACCTAGCTTCTTCTCGGCTTTGTAAGTCTTTTTAATCTGACTCATTCAGATAAGGACATGTGTGACTTTTTGACACCTTTTAGCCTCTGTAACGTAGCCAGACAGGTTCTATTCATGTTATTTATATATCCTGTATCTGACAGGCCTGAATATCCCTACTGAATTTTTATGTATTTTTTATGTAGTTTCCCTGGTAACATAACTACTTGTATAATAACAAAAGGGTAGAGATAGATGGGCTAATTTATCTTTGAGAGGATTTGTATGACGTACAGTGATGAGTGATGAGATGAGCCTGCTCTTGCAACAAAGTGCAGCCCAGATTTCTAAATAAGGTATGCAAGGCATGCATTTAATTTTTATTATCAGTAAAAGTTATAACACAAAGTTTATTTCATCACATCACTGTGTCACTTTTTTTAATCTTCCCATCCCCATAAGCGACTTCTACTGTGCAGATTTCATTTGGTGTTACACAGAGTCAATCACTTGTCCTCAAAGGTGAATAACTGGAAGTCGTTCATTCATTCCTGCTTTAATTCAGGACAAATTTTAACCTCTGTTGTGAGATCAAAGGTCAAAAGTTTAATAGGGAGAAAGGTTGCAGCCAATCATTACAATTATGGCCTCAGCATAGTAATAAATTTTGGATGGGATTTGTATCCTGTTAAATGGAAACCATTTTTACAAATGTGTAGTGAGCAACTTGAAACAAGAGAATCACAATATTCATGAATATTCAGTCAATATTCATGTTCACTGAATATTAAACATGTTATAACTTTGACTTATTAATGCTACATGTATGAGAGTAATTAAAAAAGATATTGCTGTATTTATGACATTAAAATGAACAAATCATCACTGTTTTTCAACAGTTAAACAAATGGAAGATCAGCTACTTGAAGTACTCAAATGTTTTATTTTAAAACATCCATTTAAACATTTTAAGTTAATTTAATGGTTCTCGTACAGCTGATCAACATTCTACTGATTTAACTCACCTGGTCCACATGTCATTGATCACATCTTGTCTGCATTTAAGCTTCCTGATATCAATTTTTCACTTCCATTTTATACTTATAGCTTCTTCCCTTCTACTCACCAGGCCATTTTTATAACATTGTCTGATTTTTGGTCCAGCTGCACCCTCACAATACACAACATACAACTCTTGTTTAAAGGATAAACCTCTAAAGTGGTATAAGGACTATGTTGTGAATGTGTAAGAAGTTTTTGAGTTTCTCTGATTTTCATCTCAGGTGGTATGCCTAAAACAAAACAAAAAAATGTATTCTGAATATTTGAAACAGTTTAGTAATGAATAGCTTAATATATTTAAATGCTAATTGTGACATTTGCTGTGGTTAACGTGTATAATTTGTTGTCAGGTCAGAGCACGGCCAGACGTGCAGGAATTACGGCGATGGCAAAGGGAACAGCGGGAGAAAAAAGACATTACCACAACGGTTGCACGTTTCTGGGCCCGGCAAGAGGCCAAAGGTACACACATACGCATGCAAACCTATACATGCACATCTTTTTACTCCTGTACAACCTCTGGACTTTGTATTGTGTCCATTTGTTTTAGTAAACGCATTTACGCTGAACCGCCAAATTTTTCCTAACCCTGATTCTCTCAGCAGAGAGACCTGCCCTAAACCTAAACTAAACTCAATTCACAACTTAGTTTTCAACCGACCTCCTAAACCCAAAGCAGCACTTCTTCTTATGGATCCTGGGTTTCAACCCCCATAAGGAGCAGTTGGTCCTTATGGTCCTTACGGTATATCAAATCACACACGCACTCACTCACTCACTTTTAGTCACTGATTACCAGTCCTTGGACTATATTGCTACTGCTGTCGTTGACAGTAGTTGTTGTTTATACAGTAGAGAAGTATTAGTAAATGCATTATGCAAAGACATGCTTATATAATACTGCCAACCCCATCATGCACCTAATTTGCCGCAGAAATACAATATTCATCCTAACACGGCTTTGATGTCAAAACCAAGACGAGGATTCTTGCAGCGGCAGCGGCACACAGTGAGAATGAGGCCAGCGGCGGAGATAAAGACACAGCATGAAAAAGAAAAAGAATCTCTGCAGGGCTCGGGGTGTGTTTGTGTGATGGAGATGGCAGAGTGTGGGGGTTGGAGGGGTACATGTGAAGACAGAAGGGCGTTACATAGGGATTAAGACAGAGAAGTAGAAGACTATGTGTGTGTTTGAGAGTTGTAGTTCGCACACATGAAGGATGAGACACAGCAGCTGAGAATGCATATCTGTGTGACAGAGTGACTGGCATTACGGTTCAAGGAAAAAGGCTAATCTTTGGTATTTGAAATGTGCAGGACCAAGAAAAAAGTGTCTTTTAATGTGATTTTCATTGTTTTTTGCACACAAGAAGCCATAAAAGATCAAAATTGATCAAACATGGACTGGTTTGAGATTCTCACTGTATGACAGCTGTCAGGAAAAATATCAAATTTTCATAGTAAAATTTTGAAAAGAATGCATAACCCGATCTAACTGCCTACATTTGAGAATTATAGCGACAAATCTTGTGAAATTGTGCTGTATTTTGATCGTTACTGCTCTATAAACACATTTATTTTGATGCTCAGGCCAAAATTATAGACTGAGGAAAACACCCACTTCATTGAGTAATAGTTTGAAAATGCTTACCTCTTCCTTTATGCTATTCTGCTCGTTAGCATGAAGGATGAATGGTATCTGCTGTGGTTGTCAACCTGCATTTGAGATAACAGGGTTACCTTTAACCCTGCTGCTTCTTTGGTTTCCAACCCATTATTACCGAAATATTTCAGAAATATTTCAGAAACAGACAGACTTGTTTTTTGTGTATGCAAGGAAGAAGTGTAGGAATGACTGGCAGTGTGCAGAAACGGGTGGGAGAAGAGGGAGCGGTACATCTCTCTGTCTAACCAGAGAGAAATGATCTCTGATACCTCATTGAAAGTACTTTACTAAGAAAAACTTAAAGCAATTTGAAATCATAACTTTTAAAACTTTAATACCAGTAACCATTCGATGCTGCATATAATGCATTATTGGATGGATTGCTGTTTAATCTCACTAATCATTATAGATGTGGTTTTAATGTCATCTTTTAACCAGGTGTCTAGTAACGTTTACTGCACCCTAAAATCCTTCACAATTAAAAAAAATTAGATGAAAACTAATTTGATCAAATTTAATCCGGAAAACATTAAAGTCTCTGAAAGTAACAGTAATAAAGCGATGGGAACTTCTGGTCAGTTCAAGCACTCGTAGTCTTATTTACACTGGTTTGTTATTTACAGTGAAAGTTTTAATTATTTATATGGGAAATTGAAATCCGTGCACCATCAGTGATTCTCCAATGTTAAACGTGCAAGACCCTTTCTAGTAAGAGTAATTTACCAACAAAGTAAATTTTGTTTACTTTGGTGGCAAAGCTTCTGTGTAAATAACCACCAAATACAAATATGAGGAAGAGCTTAATACAAATAAAACAGTATTATCATGAACTGATAACACCCACTTCATTCACAGCAGCTGAGAATGCATATTTGTGTGACTCTGTCACACAGATATGCATTCTGTGATGGTTTTGAAGACATCAAGATTTCACAAATCCAAAACTTCTTCTTAACTCTGACACATTTTCTCTCCGTAGGTTTGATCTCATATTATGGGTGTGCTATTTCAAACATACCCTCTCCAATATGCATATTACAGCTCAATCATGATTATATTGCTGCTTGTGTTTCTTACCAACACTGCCAAAAACCACCATGATTGCAGGTTGCCTCCACACTAACACATTCCACATAACAAAAGGGCCCACTGCAGCCACAGCAGGCCGTTAAAAATTCCTGTGCTGTGGTGCCGTACCATCACTGCCACCGCTGCTGACCTGACATAAAAACGAGGGGGTATGGGGGTGTGTGTGCATGATGCAACACCCTGTGTGCAAAGTAAAAAGTATGACCGGCCCATCGTCCAGAATGGAAATCATTTTCTGACCTCTTTAGCAGAATATGAACTGGACTAGGAAGGGAGGGAAGTGGAGTGAAAGAAGGGAGGGTAGAGATGATTAACAGTGGTGGTTTTGCTGTGCTGCATGTTGTTTTGGTTGAGAGCACTCACAGATAAATGAGCCATGTTTACCACTGCGACAGAAGCAGAGTGTGAGCAAAAAATATTTTGGGAAGCTCCCCCTTGTGTATGGAAGCTCTTTAAGTTGATCCAGGAACAACTGCACTCACCTTATTTGACCTAAGGAGCAAACGTGCATCAAGTCTTCTGGTATTTTTTCAGTTTGAAATTGGATTTAGCCTGAGAAGGAAACTAAAAACAATAAGACAAAGGGCAAAGAGCAGACACAGAGTCATTTGTTAAAATTCTGAAGGGTTGGAGCTCCATAAACAGGTGCAGCTGTTGGCACTACATGCATCATCACATGACTATCATTAGTGGGATGTTTACCTTTGGAACATGCCCTGTTTGGATTGTACTTTATCAAATGAATCCTGAAAGGAAAAGTTGTTTTTGTTTCCATGTGAGATTTATTTTGGGAGTTTAGCCTGGGGAGAGTTTTATATATATTTATTTTATGTGTTTGTGGGAATTTCTGACCATTTCCAAAGATTAAAAAAAAAGGAAAAACTAATTTGTGAGGTCAGACACTAATGTTGGATGAGAAGATCTGGATTGGAACCACTCCTCTAATTTATGCTCACCCTTGTCTTTACTGGTCTTGCTTTGTGCACTGGTGGACAATCACATTAATCATACAGGAGCCATTTTCATGTTGGTATGCTGAAAGCATTAGACATTTCTTTCACTGGAAGTGTCATGGGCCAGCAGTCCAATACCACAATCCTCCCACCACCAAACTTAGCACAATGCAGTGAGCCAAGAGTTGTTGTCCTAGAAACACTTTAAGCCAGACTCTCCCAAAGGACTTCAAACACATTACACATGGGATGTTATTGCATTGGAAATGTCTCCATTGTTGAGTCCAATGAGGTGTGCTTTATACCATGATGCCATGGTATAATTGTACTTGTATAATAGCTTATAATACAAGATGCTTAAACTTAAAGGTGTTTTGTTTTTAAAGCTGTATACTACACTGTTTTGAATCTATATTTTCTTTAACTTTAACTAACAAAATCAATTGAAAATTTCTGTTTGGAAACCAACAATGTGAAAAATTAATCTTCACACTTTAAGACCGGAACAAGCTTCGAGGGAAAAACTAATCAGCATTCTTCTGTCTAGTCCTTTTTTTGTTTTTGATAGTACAGTTGTAGTGCAAAGGCAAAGACTTTTTCTTGCACTAATGCATGTATGTTTTGTTGTTAATTTGTTTGAAAAGTAACCAACATAGTAAAGATACCTTACTGCTGTTGTTTCCAGTTGCTATGATGAAGGCAAAGCTTCCAGAGAATCCTGATGCTGATAGCTCTTTCCCTCGGTTGTACATGAAGCCCACCAACAAGGCGACCCCAGGGCCCAGTGAGTTGGAGACCACCAACCTGGGTGAGGAAGCGGAAACATCCTCGACATGACTGAGCAACATCCTTACTTTTACACTAAAGGATAAAATAACACTTGAGTTAAGTTGTGTTAGGTATTTTCTGTGAAATAATTATCTCCTTTTTCTATATGTTTCTATGGTGTTAAAGGGCTATTAGACTTTGTTACACTGAAGTCAAACTGACCAAAGTAATCAGTCAAACTATGACTGATATAGCAAGTGCCCTTGTATAGCACTTGCTATACAAAGGCCTACAGGGTCAAGCAAGAATTTATGATCTGATCCATGTCCAATCATTTTATTGCTCCCATTGCCTCTTTGACTTATCACTTCCCTTCATGTGTCTTACCCAATAAATGAATTCCATATAACTTAGTTCCCATAATGCTGCCAGAAGGGAAACCTCTTGGAACAGACCTGATATTTTCTCTTGGCACCTCCTGCTGATATCTCACCAGAGGACGACCGTATTTCCTCGTTCTGTCTCTTCTTTTTTATCGCAGTAATACATGGAATAAAAAAGGTCGGAGCTTTTCCATTCCGGCAGACAATTAAGGCCGGAGTGAGGAGTGACTTGGCCTTCGCAGCAGCACTTGCCATCCTGTTTATCAGGAAAGGAAATGTCCTTGTCAGGGAATCAGAAAATAAAAACAATGTTTCAAACTCCAAACGTCACAGGTGAATGATTGTTGTCTGCATGAAAGAACACATTAATTAATATTCTCCTGAAATATTTATTATTTGTGTTGTTGTAGCATGTTGCCCTGCTCAATAATATGTATTTAACACTAACAGATACATTTATCAGCAATCCCTGTGGTGATCAAGCATTGTCTCAATCTTTTCATGAACTCATCCTTAAATGAGTTCATAAAATGTGATTTGCAAAAATAAAACCCTACATGATGCTCAATGGACTTTTCACTTCTTTGATCTTCATTTAAAATGAAAATTGTCAGAGCTGTTATCCTTATGCCCTGACTGCAAATTAACCTGAAATGCTACATGTAGTAAGTGCTCTTCTGGCACATGTCCACCGCTCCACAAACTGAACATACCTGAGAGGATCCTCTGCGGTCCCGTGATGGAAGGATCTCTCGATCCTTGCCTTCTCTGATTTTGTTAAAGTGTGGCCTTTAGAGGATCTACATTCATCTTCCTGCAGTAGCTATCTGTAGATGGTAGACAGCTGCCGCTGGGTAAGCTAATAAAACCACCCATTTTATTCTGTGGATATCTGATACTGGACCCAGCTCTGGAGAAATTGGCATCAGTGGATCAGACTGAAACTAAATCCCATGGTGCTAGAGTTGAAGCGGCACAAGGTCGACTCTGCATAGCTAAAGATCAGGAGGGTCTGGTTTCCAGGCGAGAGGTGAAAGTGTAAGTTAAAATTATTGCGTGCAAGTATGAAGAAATAACCATTTTATCTATTTGTTTTGTGGGAAAATATAATCTAATTCTAGTAAAGCACTTCATTACTTTATGAACACATCGAGCATCTTTCAGATTGGTTGAAAATGTGGGTTCAGTCCAATGCAAAATGATTCTGCATCAATTGCCAAAATCCTGGTTATGTATTATGAAGGTTATTATGAGCTCTAGTTTTATGATCTTCTGCCACTGCAGTGAACGATGGATTTATTTTAAAGCTTTTTGGACATCAAGATGCTGCGTATCCATGGCACCTAGGAGCTGAAAATAATTCAAAACATAAAGTAATAAGCAAAACTTATACAAAAAGGCATACTCCTTTTAAAAATGTCTAACTACTTTTATGAAACAACAGGTTTAGCTTTATAAACTATCCACAAAGATAGACAATGTTTCATTCTTTTTTAAATCACCTTTTAATAGTTTACGTTTCTTTAAAAAAAAAACTGCAATTTTTACTTTCCTCCCAAAGTTCAACATTATCTTGGCTTTTCTTCTTTCAGGTTTCAAAACAATTCCAAATTACAAGAATAAAACACCAAATCCAGGTAAAAGTTCACTACAAACATGACACTTTTATTGAGCTTTTTTTCGTCCTGAATAGGTTACAGAAACAACAGAGTTAACTGTTTTATTTTTTTTTCTCTTTTTTTTCTAATTAAGAAATCAAGTTTCTATACATATGCATGCCTCATCACTGCACAGTCATAGCTGTGAAAACCAATATTGCCCCTGTCAGCTGCCCTGCTGGAACAGTCTGAAGGCAAGAAAAATCGGGAGAGGAAAACCCAGGAGGGTGGGGCGTTGTTCAGATAGGCTGCCCAGGGACAACAAACTCAACATAGAAGTTTTGTGCAAATTTCACCACAGTCTACTTGATTTGTAACACAGAGACAATATCAGTCAGACAATTCTGTTTTTTAAAAACCTTTAAGTCTTCAAACTCAAGCAGAGGAAAGTATTCTTAGGTCCACTGAAGATGGCATGTTGTTTCCTTCATTGGAAATCACTCCATGTTGGACCGACCTCTGATTTTAATCTCTTTACTTCACAACAAGCAGTTTGCTTTTGTGTTTTCCAAAGCACAGACATTAAGTGTGTCTTCTGATATACACTGAAATTATGATTGCTGTCACATGACCGTTACATAAATAGTTAGTATTGAAAAGTACGTCTGAGAAAGATCTTATATGTAGAAATGGTGAATAAGCATGCACAGATAGGTAGTTGACGAGTGCAAAATCTACAAAGTCACAACATGTTGTTCTTCCTTTTTTTGTAATCCACACCGAGTGAAAACATCACGAGAACTCAAACATCCCTCCTTGATTGTGAGAAATGTACTGGTGACCATGAAAACCCCTGAGGACTCTTCTCCTTGCACGGATTTGTTTCTGACCAGGATTGGCCCAGACACGGCTCAGGCTGCGAGGACGAGCTGTGTCTGGGTGTGAAGCTGGCCTGCAAGTAGTCGTCCTGTTTTAGAGTAGCCAGAGTTTGAGACATAAACGTGCAGCAGCAGTCAGGGGCGAACCCCCCAAAGTTTTCTTAGCTCAGGGCTGATGCAAGTTCAGATATCACTACCATGGCTTTTGCTCTGATCTTGCAGTGCCCTGCAAAATTATTTATACTTCCTGAACTTTCACATTACAACCACAAACATTTATGTATTCCATTTGGGATTTTATCTGACAGACAAACACAAAGTAATGCTTAGTTGTAAAGTGAAGGAAATTGATGACTGGCTTTCAAATTATTTCACAAATAAAATTCAGAAAGATGTCGCATACATTTGTATTTAGCCCTCCCTAAAATAGTTTAGTGCAGAATCCACTAAATTAAAATAGAGTCCAATTTAAAATAAATGTAAGACCAGCTGTTTTATGAATGCCTCACAGCATGAATGCACCAGACAGACCAATGATCAATCATAGGTTTTTAAACAACACTACATTGTTATTCTCTGGATCTCTAGAGGTGCTGCAGAGATCCTCAACTCAGGTGTTGACCTTTATTGAAAACTGACAAGAAAAAAAGGACATTTAATCTTGTCAGAAGAGATTAGACCAAAATAGAGTTTTTAAGCTTACATGAAAAATGCTGAATATAGCAGAAAACTAATACTGGACATCACCTTGAACACACCATGTCCACAGTGAAACATAACACTATGTCAGTATGTGGAAATAGAATACTAGAGGCTCCAAAAGACTAACCCGACCCTGACTCAAGTATGCAAATGCATGCCACTATTTACAGTTTTTGTAAATCTTTCATAAAAATATAATTAACATTTATCTTTCCCCATCTCAGTCGTCTTTGCTTTATGTTGGTCAGTCATATGCTATGATTTGACAATAAAATATGTTTAAGTTTATGGTTGCACTGTGACAAACTGTGAAAAATGTTCAGGGAATAAAAATACTTCTGCAAGGGACTGTATTATTTAGTGGGGTCGACCCACCCTGCTCTGCTCTGAGTTTCATAAAAATAGTCTTTGTTTACTGCATGAAGTGCCAAAGTTATTCACAGCTATTGTCATTTTTTTCCTGAAAATAAAAACAGCGATCAGTAGATACAACCAACATAAATCCCTTTAAATGAATCGCAAAATATTCATGAACAATAGTCCAAAAAAAAAAATAAAAATAAAAGCACATCTAGCGTTGGCAAAAACATTTTTTCAAAGCTCTAGCTAAAAAAACTTTTTAAAGACACCAGCAAGAGAAAAATAAAAGCGTCTGAAAACAAGGCAGAGCATGAACACAAAGCAAGCAAGTTAATCCAAATTAAAATCAGTTCTCCAGTGCATGACCTGTGTCTAAACTCAGCCTAGTATTAAAATAAAAAGGAGAAAAAAACGTAAACGAGCAAGCAAAGCATTACAGCACTACTATGTACACAGTTTCTCAGGTGAAACAGAGAGCTGGTGTCACGATGTAGGGAAAGCGTGTAAAACAGAGACTCCAGTGAAACATGGAGTCCTTCTTGGCATAGGGACTTGAGCAATGAGAGACAGGGAGAAGGTGAGGAGGAGGAGGAGGAGCAGGAAGAGGAGAGGCTCCCACATCATGCACACATAGAGACTGGAAGGCTATTTTCTCATATAGATTTGAGAGTGACTGAAGAAAATCTGGTCTCAGCACCATCCCTCTCTATATGCCCCCTCCTACATCTTCTTCTGCATTTGATCCTCTTCTTTCCACCACACAGTGTAAACCTGATCTCTCTGAGACTCCAGAAGATCTCCACACAGCAGAAGCAGCTCTAAATATAGTCTGCCACTTGTTCTCTGACGAGTGGATCCACACTGCCGTTGTTCCTGTCATTTCTATACCTCACTGCAAAGAATTTTAGCACCAGAAAACAACTCGTGAACCCTCACGGAATCACAAAGCTCACATACAGTATGCACACAAACACAGACAGAGGAACCGGGAGCAAGAGGCCGATTCATTTCCTCGCTCCGCTTCCTGCTGATCTAATGTGACGGTTTCTCCTGGCTGCTTCCATCCACCACTGGCCACCGGAGATGCGTGGAGAGTGCAGAAGTCTGACCCAGATTCCCAAAGCTGCACCTCCCCTGCTGACGACCGACGCCTTCCTTGTCCAATCACAATCCTTACTGCTTTTTTTTGTTTTGTTTTTTTTTGGTCTTTTCAAATCGCTAGTATCGGTTCAATAGCAGCATGATGGGTAAGGCCCTCCAGATTTACTTTTGTCGTGTCTGTGCTCACTTCATGTAACTGTCCCCTTTACAGTCAGGCTTCACAGTTTGTACTCGCAATGTGTCCATGCAAGTGGGATGATGACGCAAGGTGACGAGAGTTATGTATTGTAGTCACAGACAGTGCAGGGAAGAGGAGGGGAAAAGGCCAGGGCTAACAGTCCAAAGGAGGAGGAGGAAGGTTTGGAGTGTGAGAGCTGTACAGATCACACAAACGCACTCATTCCCGTATATAGACACCAACAGAGGGTGACTTGTTTTTAAGAGAGCTGCAATCTGGCTCAACCCTAACAGTGTGAATGGATGGAGGACAGAGTTAAAGGTTTCCGCTTCAATGCCAGCACCGTAAAGCAGAAAAACATTGCAACTGACAGGATAAGAGCTAGAACAGGACGAAGTTTGCGTTCACAGTTTTCAAAGATGCTGGAGATCAGTGCTGGAGTGTCAACGGAACCAATCATACCAAAAAAGAGAGATAATGTATTGTAATAATATAATAATAATAATTTCAGATAATATTGTAAGTTCTGTTTGGCCACTATCATACTGGACATCTCAGTTCAAGTTTTGCAACTCTTCCATAAATACTTGTTGACTAGAAAAGTTTTAGCTCTGTCCTCCATATGCGGCCCTCTCTCAGTCTCACTCACATTCACTCCATAATTGTTTGGCACACAGTCAGTGTTAAAGTCTATACATGAAAGGGCCCTGCAGGCACACAAGCCTAAAGTCCAGTCCAACTAGATGCCTGCCCCACCCAAACAGTCCCGGACCCCTTCCTCCCTTCGTCCTCTTCTTCTCGCCATTTTCCATCAAACTTCGTCTTTCCTCTCATTCACCACAGCTGCCTGCCAGTGTAAGTGGGAGGGGCGGAGGGCACCTGTGGATGAAATGAAATTGGTGTGTAAACTATAAACAGCCTGGAAACATCATGTCGTTAAATATGTTTTGCTAAAAGGGTCAGTTGCATTGTAAAATGCTACATTTCCCCTGGTTCTTTACACCAGCTTAAAGTTTTAGACGGGAACTTTGCCTCCAAACTAAAGAGTATTTGGGTTTAACTGAAGGCTTGTAGAATGCAATCCTTGTTTTTGAAGTTATCATACATTTAGATGATTTTCTTTTTTTTTTTTTTTTGCACATTATAAAATATCTGCTATGTATATTTCTTAATACAAAGCAGGTTAAATCAGTAAAATCAGTATTGCTAATGCATTAATTAGTAATATTATGTAAACTAGTTAAACAATAGTTAGGAGGCTATTGATGTAGGATTTCAGTTATAGGGCTGCTGTGTAGGGAACCTATAGTTAAATCCCAAATTGTTCAAACCACTGGCAAATTTGAATTTTTAATTATTTTTTTCAACCAAGAACTTGGTTTTTGATAGGAAACGAGACGGTTATTTCTCAAAGAAGAAGCAAAGTAAAAGGAGTTTAAATATCAAAAAATATAAAACAGTCTTGTATACATTTTGTCAAAATATTGCTTGTGAAAGTTCTCAGACCCTTAGCTATCACGTCCTTCTTATAGCTGTGAACCGACATTTTGCATTATTTCCACTGATGTTTTGACAATTTATCTTTGGTGATGAGCTCCAAGTCTTTGAGATTGGAAGAGCTCGTTGCCATCACCCTAATCTTTAGCTCCTACCACATGTTCTTTGTCAAAAATTAAATCTGCTCTCTGACTGGACAAATCCAAATTTGAATATTACTTCAAGTAAAAAGAAACTTGTTAAAAAAAAAAAGATCTCTATACCTATACCTGCCGGGGTTTGAATAATTTTGGACTTAACGGAAAATTATCTGTGAAAGTGGCCAGCCAGAATGTACCCTCCTCTTGACGTTACAGTCCAGCAGGCAGTTGCATCACTCAACAAATAAATAAAATTAATGGGAGAGTTAAAGACACTGAGGCTCCCTCACAATCACTCACACAAACCACTTTGTGAGTTTGAGTGATGAGCGACCAAACCAGTCCATGCATTTGCAGAGACATGAGCATGCAAGCACACACCTCTCTCTCCTTGTGCAATGACGCATGATCCATAAGGAACTAACGTACATGCAGTCTGGTCGGCGTGATGGAGTGTAACAGCGGCGTGTAAGCGGCGTGTACCTGTGACTGGGAAGATGTACTCACCGCTCCCCCGTTCAGGATCATGGTCATCTCTGTGGGCTGGTACACGTTGCTGCGGAAGGGAGCACTGGGCCTGGCACCCGTGTTACTGTTGTGTTGGGCGGCACTGCCACCGCTCCTCAAGCCTAAGAGGGAAACATAGATTACTCATTTTGACTCATCACTTTGCTTTTCCTCCTGAAACACTTCCTACGCAACAGAAATTTTCCTCCAACAACTATTTCTAGGCTCTCAGGCAAACCTTTCCTGGAGTTTCATTTTTCACTTTGGCCTACTTTCATCCTACAAGCTGCCCACACAAATGATGCTCTCTAGGATATTGAACGATGGCGTACCTGCTGTGTTCTCGTCGTTGTATCCATAGCCCTGGTTCTCCACAAACTGTCGGTGAGACAGAGGGATGTCTTCATCAAAGCTCGTCTCCCTCATCCGTGTTGAGTTCTGGGATGTGTCAAAGTAGTCTGGGGCGGTGGGTTGCGGTGGGGGCCTCAAGCAGATGTGGGATTCGGGAATAGCATGGAAGATCAGCAGGAGCCAGCCCTGAGCCACCAAGGCTATCGCCAGAGCGGGATCGTTCCATTCTGGGGACCTGCCGAGCCAGTCGTTACCATATAGGTAGAAGCCCACCCATGCCACCCACAGCAGCAATGACAGCAGGCACGTCACCAGCAGCCAGACGGCATTGCAACGCCACTGACGTGTTTTTCCACACAGGGCCAAGGAGGCGGCAGTAAGGGCAGCGAGAAGAAGGGCTAGCACGTAACTGCAGGCTAATGAGAAGTCCAAAGGCATGTACTGACAGGCTGCTCTACCTTCCCTCAGCACGGTCAGAAGTAGCCACTCAGCGGCAATGATGCCCTGCACGGCACTCAGGCCTAATGCCAGACCGGTTAGAGCACATCCGCCGGGGCTTCGTCGTTCTCGGCCGAGCCTGCGCAGACGAACCCCCTGAACCAACAGGCAGGAGAAGCAGACAGCAAAAAGGAGACCCCACAAAGCCCTACGGATCAGACAGAGAGACTCATCCTGCTCGATCAGGTAGGCAAAACTGAGGCCGAACAAGCCAAGTATCCCCAGGAGGAGGAGGAGAATGGGCCCTACGCCACTTCGCTTCTCTGCTTCACTGATGTGGCGCAGACGACACAACAGGACCAGAGCGAGTAGGATGGCTGCCAACGTCCCACCAGCAGCCACAGATTCGACAGCTACGCCCCAGATGGATTCCAGGTCGCACAGGAGAGTGTAGGGTCGCACGAGACCCCAGCCGCAGCCTCTTGGGAGAGCCTCGGAGTCAGCCGGATTCTGACCGTGGGCATGATGAGTAACAGCCAGCAGCAGGAGGACCACAGGTGGGAACGCCATCTTTGAGAGGTGAACAGAAGTGTGGATGGACAGGAAGATGATGCAGAGCATGAGGGCAGAAAGTAGAGACAGGAAAAGGGTCATGAGTCACAAATGTTGGTGAGCCATTAAAGCTGAGCCGTCAGTCATTCCTGCAGCAATCGCCTGTCCTTGAAACAAAGCAGACAATCTGCTTCTGCTGCATTTTAGAAATGGAACAAAGGACCAAACTTTATGCTGGGTGAATGACTAAAGCTTCTCTGAACACACAGACAAAGTACACATTCGTATTCTGGTGGCAGGTTGTGGCCGTTTTTCTTTTAAAATATTTCTGCAGCTTAAAAATAGCAACTCTTAGAGTGCAACCGGAGCTCAGATCTGCTGGCTTCAACCTTTTCACCATGTAAGACTGGAGTCTGAGCAGCTACAACACTGGGAAAACAAGAGCTGCAACTTCATGAATATTTCCAGAAAAAAATACAGATACACTGAAAAGATTGTGACTCACTATCCGGCTTTTTGCAAGGTGTGAGACACTGCATATTGCACTACACATAAGAACACTGCACCTCAAGCAAAAATACAAGTACTTGTTCGTTCTTTTTGAAGGGTGCAACATCAGTGCTGTCAATCTACCATTTTGCCCTCTGTCAGGATTATTGTTCATAACACACACATTCACACACATGAGTTTTTCCATTTAATTATTGGCTTTGCAGAGAAGATCTTTGCTGTTGTCTCACCTGACACACTGTCTGGTTGTAGAAGGCTGATGTGTGTTGAACAGCACCAAAACACCAGACAGATAAACATATCCTCTTGGCAGGTTGCTGTCACAAAGTGTCCTGGCATTCTTTGTGAGCAAAACAGTCAGCTGTCAAAAAAGTGCTTTCTGCTCTTTGCAATGCTTGTAGATAAACTTTCCATTGTTTGCTTCAGGGAGATGTAACTTTGACATGAGAAAAGTAATCCACAAATAGACTACTGCAGTATTTGCATACCACACAAAGGACACTGGATATCCCGAGCTTCACATTCCCACTCCCAGTGTCAGTGAGTCAGAGTGGGTTACGTAGGCAGACTGCTGGGGGGGTCAGGTTCAGATAAACAGTCTGGTTACACATGCAGGCCTGCATGTCACCTATACAGACTAATACTTTGCTATAATGGGGTGACTGCAAGAAGAAGACAAACCCCAAAATTACAAAACCAGGGATGAAACAAATACTTGTGCAATACCAGTCTCTACAGGTATTGCAGTAGAAATTGTTATTAAGTATATTATGATAGTTTTGGGTTGGACTCACTTTTGGGTCTGGCTCAATTCTTCAAGGTATATCAATGTTTTATCAAGGTGTCAAAGAGTTTTGACCCAAAGTTTGCAAAACAAATATACACTACACTATTATACCACCATTCCTCTCTTCCAGACCATTCTATGGAAACCTAAAACACGGTTGTGTCTGGCAATCCCAGCAGACAACCAGTTTATGAAGCATTTGAACCAGCCTGTCTGGCACCTACAACCATAACACATTCATTAAATCCACTTTCTCTCTCAACCAGTTGCAGGGTTTTAAAAATCTGCACCACATCCAGATGCCTAAATGCATTGCCTTGCAGGCATGTGATTGGCTGATTTACTAAACTACAAGAAAGTGTAAGCCAGTTGTAAATGTAGTATGCCTAGTAACTTGCAATAAAGGTCCAATTAAATCAATCACTCATGGTCTTGCAAGGCAAATTGTAAAAGAATTTAAACTTATAACTTATTATATTTCTATTTGAAAAAAATCCCATGCTTAGAAATAATTAATCAATAATAAGGCATCAACAAACCCTTTGTTTTTTTGTTTTTTTTACCTTGAACAATCCATTGAGTCAATGAGAAGTGTGTCTTCTCCTGTAACAGCAGTACTGGTACATCCTGCTGGGTGTTGATCACAGATACCAGCTACCAGTGGTGGCATGGCGAGCGTCTCTACATATCTTCTGTGGTCAAATCATAAAACCATATTGTAATATTTTTTAAATGTACAGCCACAATTGAAAAAAAAACAACTGGTTCAAAGGTTAGATTTCTACTTTTTGACTTAATGGCTTAACTGAAATTCTTCTTTATTACTTCCACTGCACATCAACTCCTCCATATTTATTTATAAGCTTTAGCTATGTGTGCCCCTACATCTATTTTGAACAGGCAGCTGTTGTTTTCCAGTGAACTTCCCAGGAAGCCTCTGCAGGCCTAACTGTGCAAGTTGCATGCATGTATATGTGTACATGATTATCATTTAAGGGTCAAAGCTCCCCCTTTTCCTTCTGTCACCTTCCTGCAATACTGCATCAACTCAAAACCACATAGTATTAATCCGTCATCAGTCAAAGCTTTTAAGCACAGATTTATGCACAACAAAATTTCTACGTAAATGTGGCACATCACATCTTAGATTAGTCTTTCTTGTCTCTAAATTACAGAGATAGAACAGCAAAGGACATAACACTCCTTCCTTATTCTATCTTCATCACCTTCTTTGTCTCACTCCAAATGACAGAGGCAATAAAGCCACATAGTCAAGATGCAGAACAAGAGGCTGAGGCTTGCGTCCTGCACACCAGTGGCTTTTCCACACACTCGTCCTCCTGCCCCATCACTCCCTCTCACACAGATGGCTGCACTGGCTGCTTTTTGAGTGGGACTTGGCAAAACCTGTGAGCCAGCCAATCACCAAAGGCCACACGCACGCGCGGTCACATGAACGCCATCAGCTGCACATGCGTGTGTAAAATCCCACATGTTAAGCGTGACATGCACATGCAGCACATTATACTACTTAAGTCCTCATATTTCTTTCATATTAGTGAGTCGTATGAAAAGGAAGGATGATATAGCCTGCTTATCCTCTATGGCCTCCTGCCTCGCCATACATGTTTCTTTCTGTCGCCATTTCTGTTCTCCATTTCAAATTCTCTGTTCTGCTAGACTTCCGTGCCCCTCCTCCTTCAAACACTACTCATTTAAAAAAGACCTCTAAACAGCTACATCTTCCCTTTTCTTCCATCTTAGATCCTTGTGGTCCTTCCTCCTCCTCTACTTCCTTCCACTTGTCTTCATTCATTCTGTTTCTTATGTAATTCAGGAGAGATCCAGCTCCAGCCAGTTCTGCTGCAAGTGCAAACAGCCGGGCGGCACTGAGCTCCTTTATTCTGCACCTCACAAGGTTGCAAGCTTGCATGCGTGCTGCACGCATGTCCAACATGCCTCTGCTGGCATGCTGCAGGTTTGACATTCAGCTTTGTTGAATGCATTATATGTCCTCGTGAGGACAACATGCATGGTTGAAACACAAATCCCCATTGTGACGCGAATGCAGCATGCATTCTTTGCAGCACTGAACAGGAATACAGGCGTGAGAGGACAAATGTGCAGCACTGCAGTCATTCAGACGAGCTCCAGGCTGGACAGAGAAGGATGGGGGTTTCGGTGGGGAGGCGATGAGTCAAGCGGTCCAGAACAATTACAGACTCCTATAATTATCAGACGCAACACACAGCCAGATGCTGTCTAATTAGTGTGGTAACGATCAGAACGATTATTGCATTTTAACGACTTGCTTCATGTCTTTCTGTTCTGCAGCAGTTTTGGCCAGATTAGCTCAGCAACACACAAAATATCAGAGTTTCTAAAAATGTGCAAGTATTCAACCGGACCGCTATAGAGCCGAGTTATTAGCTCACAAATTAATCATAAATAAAATCAGATCATCAAGTTTTGTGCTAAGCTTTTTTGATTTCTTACAGGAGTGAAGTTGTGTTTAGCTGCCTCTGAATCATCATTCAAAAAAAGCATGTCTAGTTTGCCTTCCAAGTGAAACAGCCATTGAGGGATGATTAATTATAATGTCTAATTTACTTAAACCAATTTAATAAATGCTCCCTACTAATTGCTCCAAAATGATTCATTAAATGAAGAGCAGTAACCTGCAGAGTATGTAATAACTCCCAGGCTTCCATTATAATCTTTCTGGGGGTTTCTCCAAATAATTTTCCGCAGTAGACATTAGCTACTTTTGGAGAGTGGGGATCTTTTAATGATTCTGCCTGTTGAAGGAAGTTATTTTTCGTTTTTATACCCTGGACAGATTACCAATGTCAAGGTACAATAAGGTTATAAAATTTTGAGACTGTAAAAACCTTCCATCAAATCCTTCTGACAATTTATAGCAATTTTGATGAGATGCCAGAGAAATGCTTTATGCCAACTGCTGCTGTGCACTACGTGCTAGCTGGCTGAAAGCTGTCAGTCCAGGTTATCATACCGTCAAACTCTCATACTGTCTCCATGGATGACGACATTTTGGCTTGCTGAATTTGGTTTGTTGGGGTTTTATTAGTTTCGACAAAAGAAAGCATATCTGTAGCGAAAGCTGTGTATTGTTTAATCTAAATGTTGATGAGGCGTGAAAGCGCCAAAATAAAAACAAACAAAGAAACATCAGTGTAGAAATATCCTAAATATTTTTCTCCTAGAAGTTAAGATATATAGAAACAAGCCTTCACTGTGATAACCTTCATGCAATAGATGTAAACACAAGATGATTTTCAGTATAGACTTGAAACTACATCAAGGTATTCCAAGATTTTACATTGCCCCTCTCCAACATGTTGCTGTGCCATGGTGATTACCAAATATTTTCCATATTACAAAAAAGCTGAATTCTGCAGTTTGGGCAATTGTCCTTTTGCAGGAAACAAAAGGGAAAATCTATCACTATTGTTATGGCAGCAGTATTTTAAAACTACATGACAAACTACAGAAGCAATAAAAAAACAACAACGATAGAACCAATGTTTCAGATTATACAATATAGTTTTAGTAGTATACCTTACATACGATAAATTCTATCAAATGTGTTTATAATGTCATCACACAGAGGCTCACACACAGCCAGAACAATGGCAGAATAAAGATTTGTATTTAAATAGTACTCTCAGTTTGATTTTGTCTCAGATAAGTTATATTTCTTTCACATAAAATCTCTATTTGCAGTTTGAAGATTTTTAGAAGTTTAGCTTAATATCCAAACAGAGAAGCTAATTACAATTCCTGCATAGATGTTCTGAGAAGTTAAAATGTTTCCATGTAATTTTGTACTATATCAGTACAGAACTCTGTCTGTCATAAGTTAGGATTGGTTCATATTTATTTAAAATTCTAAGGTATCTTCAGTGGAAATTAAATCAGAACAAACTCTTTTACCCTTATCATCTTTTGTTTTCTTTTTGATCCCTTGTCAAATTTTGTTTTATTATTTTTTATCATTTCAGTTTCTGAATTAGAAGACTGACTATCAGAGAGAATGCAAGCATGTGTCTTTGCAGTAAAAACAGTTAGCTCTTCTTTCGTCCTTCGCAGCAGCCAGTGACATTTACAAAAGTTCAAAATAGGAGTACAGATGTGAAAATGTGGCAGTAGACTAAAGTCTGAGTCATTGTGAGTCTTTAATTTTGAAGATAGAAGCATAACTGCACCCATCTAAAGGTGCATAATTGTACTTTTAATAATCGTAAGGTAAATGAAAACAGATAAGTTCTTGGTACAGAAGTTTAGGCTGCCGATTGTACCAGGCTCCAATCTCTTGTGCAGTTTTTACACTCTGCATGCGTAGGTTTCCTCTGAGTACTACTGTTTCCTCCCACATTCCCAAAATGTGCTCACTTGGTTAACTGGTGCTTTTAAAATGAATGTAGGTGTGAGCAAATGTGGTCGTTTCCCATGGATTTTTTTTCTTTTTTTTTACCAAGACATAATTGCTGAGTTTTGTAACATTTGGATGCAAACCTGCTTTTAAATGTAGAAGGAGCTTGGAAAATAAGGTTAAGTAAAAAAAAAAAAAATATGAAAGGATAAAAGCAACAGATGATTGAATGCATGCTTAAAAAAATAAGGTATTTCCAACCTCTTGGGAGCCATTTTATGGAAACTGTCAGTGCACATATTCATCCCCTGCCTCCCCACAGATCCCTGGTCCCCCTAATTATGCCTCATTATCATGTGACTGGGCTTACAGCAAGACCATATGCTAATTGACTTCGCAATTAGCAGAGCCAGTGTTACACGTCCACCCTCCCACCCCCTCCCTCCTCTTCTATCACCATAACAGATACAGTATGGGATGACGGGTCGGATGTGATGGCACGCAAAAAAGTGTATCCTGAGCATGCACAGCTCAGGTGTCGTGTGTTCTGCTTCACTGCGATATGATTAAGCATCTTCAATTATAGATTGACATCCGGAAAGAGGATGAGTGGTGGACTGGTGGCGGGGGTAAGAGGGGATCAAATTGGGTTTGAGAGCACGATAGTGATCAGAGGAGCAGGAGGAGTGAGGAACAGCCGGATGCTCGGAGGAAGAATAGGAGTGAGCCACTTGCCCTGAGCATGAGCGAGCGTGTGTGTGTGGGTGTGCGTGTGTGTGTGTGTGTGTGTGTGTGTGTGGGTGTGGGTGTGGGTGTGTGTGTGTGCGCACACACATGTATGCGTGGGTGTGCATGTGTGTTGGAAGAGGGAGTGGAGGCATGAACACAAATGCATACATGAGAGATGAAGCAGCGAAGTTCCAATACAACCTGTCCTTATAAAAACACATATACAAGCAGTTCCTTACAAAAGGGACATTTTACACCACATCAGGTTCCTTTATAATCCAGAAATGTTGTTCCTTGTAATATTATGAAAAATGATCAATGTTTTCCTAACTGTGCATAAAAAAAATCCTACGCATGTGCTCCGATTCCTCTAGTCAGTTGATCACCTTCAGAAGTCACTGTGTGTAATTTTATCTCACAGTAAATACAGATGTTCTGTAAAGACTAGTTTTATTACTGAACACGTTGAATGGAGGGGTTTAAATCAGGGTTAGGTTATAAATCAGTATTCCAGGCTCTGAACAACTCAGACAGCTCAGTTCAGTCCATCATTTGAAAATGTAAAACAACTGCAAACCTGCAAAGACGCAGATGTCCATCTAAATTGACAGGCAAGAAGAGCATTAATAAAAGAATCAGTCGGTAGACTCTGGGTAACTCTGGTGAAGCTGCAGAGATCCAGAGGTCAGTTAAGATAATCTTTACGGATTATGACCAAGAAGGAAGCCATTGTTAAAATAAAATCATCAGAAGTTCAATTTACATTTTGCCGCAGTTCTTCCATTTGAAGACAAATGAGACCAAAATAAAATATTTTTTGCCCAAAACACAAAATGTTTAGTGTAGCAGAAAGTTAACACAACACATCACCCAGGACATGCTATGCTTACAGTGAAACAAGCTCACTGTGGAAGTGATTTTATTCAGCATGGACAGGAAAGCTGTGAAGACGGATTGATCCAGACAAATAGGACTATTGTACTTATTAGAGATCGCAGAAAACCTCACACTTAGGCATAGGTTTACCTTCCAGCAGAACAACAGCTCTGAACGTACAGCCAGAGATACAATGAAAGGATAGAGATCATAGCCCAGTCCATGTCCAGACCTAAATCCACTGGGAATATGTGACAAGAGTTAAAAATATATATTCTCCGTAGTAAGTCCAATTGGACATAATTTGAGATTTCAGTCTTAATGCGAAGACCAACCCCAAAACAGTTTCAGCTCTACATGCAGTGATATGCAAGGCCCTAGATAACCTTTGAGGAGCTGCAGAGATCCATAGCTCAGGCGGAAGAATATGTTGACATTGCATCCACCAATCTGGTTTGAAGAAAACCATTGTTGAAAGGAAGCCAGTCAGAAATTGTGTTTGTAAATGGATGGAAGAGGATAACGACAGAACTTTTTAAGTTCTCCTTCACCAGTATGACTGATCTAAAATGTGCCAGAACTTGTCTTTATATATGCAAAGTTGGTAATGACCGACACAAACAAGTTGCAGCTGAGACTGAAGCAAAAGGAGATTCTTGACTCTTAAGGCTGAGTGCATATATGCACAGCACAACAATTTCTACAAAATAAATACATTTGAAAAGCATGTATCAATTTCTTACCACTCCATGGGTATCTGATACGTTACCTTGAGTTACCGCATATAAATCCCTATAAAACACATGGAAGTTTATTGTTGCAAAATGGGAGAATGAATACAGAGTGTAGTAATCCATACTGGGTCCATATGGTTTCAGCCCAGAGGACATGGTCGTGTCATCTTTTCCCAAGAGGGGGGTAACTAACTGATGAATGCACAGTCTGAGAATAAACAGCTCCACTCAGCTGAATATTGATTCATGAGGGAAAACAGAACACAGTAAAAAAAAAAAAAAAAGTGCCCGGGAGCTTTCAGAGCGCAAATCCTGCACTGACAACAGGCTTCTATGTCATATATTGACCTACAGAAAGTCCAACATCCATTTCCATACAAAATGCCTCAGTTGAATTAAGACTCTAATGTGCAGAGCTGGGAGGAACACATCGCAAGGTGTCTCCCTTAAGGTTTTAGCTGACCTGCAAGAACAGCTAAATCCAATCACA